GTTCACCTCTGTAGTAGGTCAAAGCTGTACCTCCGTGGTCAGCAATTATAACCGGTGTATAGTGTAATAGTTCTGCATAAATCAAAATATATATATGTCAAGGTACCATGATAAGAAAGTGGGGACACCCCTATAGAGAGCAAGCAGAAGACCTGATATGATATCTGGGGGCTCACCCCACGTGGTGTGCCTTGTACAATAGAGGACACCCACATATTGCAACTGGTATAATCAGAACTGGCACATTAAATGGTTTCAATCACATGGCTTTTAGCCTCAGGTATCAATCACATATCAGTGTATGTCACATTTCCTCTTTTAATAATAAGCACTCTTGAGCTTTGTATGGTATTAGCATACATACAGCAGAGATGAACAGTGTATATGGCTTATCAAGCTAGGCTTTATGCCTCAGATATTACTCACACATCAGTATATGTTACACTTCCTCTTTTAATAATAAGCACTCCTACGCTTTGTATGGTATTGGCAGACATGCAGCAGAGATGGACAGTGTATATGGCTCATGAAACTATGCTTTTAGCCTCAGATATTAATTACACATCAGTGTATGATAAATTCCCTGTTTAATATTATGGACTGCTCAGCTTTGTATGGGTAAAGCATACATGTAGCAGATAGTACAGTAGACAGATGTGGCGCTAGAAGTACAGCTTTTTAGCGGGTAATTATATAAGAAGTTGGTCCATATCAAGGTAATACCGATCTGGAAATAGACAAAAAAATGTCCGTTGTGAATCTTGCCACACTCGCGAGACCCAAGATAGCCGCTGCACACGTAACGGTCAGCAAGGTCCGAGCTTCGCGGGCCCGCCGGCAAGTGAGCAGATAATGCTGGATGCCCCCACCATCCCTGCACCTCCCCACAAGAAGCACCGAGAGGTAGGAAAGGCAAAAAAGAGAGTGCAAACGTGGCATTCGCCAGCCGTGACATACGAAGGCTACGGAGGCAGGACAGACCCTGGCTCCAGTGCAAGAAGGGGGAGAGTAGGCCTCAGGTGGTGAAATTAGAAATAGTCAGAAAAACTAAATACATCTAGGTCTTAGAGTACTTGGGCCAGCAGAATAAATAGCTTAGTATTCAGAAATCAACAAACAGCCATGAGGACAAAATACTTTGACCTGTGCTTGCCTGGAGCAGCAAAGAAAGAGGAAGTGACTACTCTGACAGGGCCTGTTGTGTAATGTTGAAATGTTTTCTGATTGTTTATTCTGTTATGATCTGTGCTGCTGGGAGTTTTCAGTAAAGAGAGTTATGCCAATACGAAGCCTCCTGTCATGTGATAAAATTCTAGATTTTGAGCAGGAAGAGGAGTTGGGCATTTTTTATATTTTTAAAGTTAATTTAACACAGCAGGAATGTTTATTTTAAAATAAAGGTTTAAAGGTTTCTCCAAATGTAACGTCAGATCATTTCCAACTTTTTTATACACACTAAAATTCATTATTCAGTATTAAAATATTCCTTATTAAAAAAAAGAGAGAATATCCCCCTAAATATGATAAATTGATGGAAGAAAGATCACCAGATTTAGTAATTTCAGACCTAAATCTATGTTTATTCCAAGTGAAAAGGAATTTAAGTGGATGTTTTTTAATAAGATGCTGATCAAATATTTTTTCTTAAATAGTTTTTATTGAAAAGGTTTTCCCTTTTTTTTTTCAGACAATACAATACAACAGTTACATACAGATGGTAGAAAACAATACTTCCATTTGGAAAATATATCCATGGAAATTTTCTTTATACATTACACTTAACCAAAAACAAGACAATACATTTAACTTACATATCTACATATACAAGACAATGCAGCAAAGGAGAGAGGAGAGAATAGATATCGAGTAAAAAATTTATATCTAATATTATCCAAAGTATGACCAATCCAACACTATTTCCCTTTAAGTTTGTAAGGAGGTTAATTTTAACAAACATTTTGTTTGCTGAAAGCTCTATTTATTAATCCTCTCCCAACATTTCGTCCAAACCATTACTTTTTTACTTGATTTTTGTTTGTTCAACATCGGTTCCATTTTAATCTGAAACTTAAGTTGGGCTCTGACTTGATCCCAAGGGACGTTCCTATCATATTTCCAACCTCTCGCAATCACAATTTTGGCAGCTAAAAAAAGATGAATAAGAATAATTTTCGACTCATACGCCATTACCAGCCAATTTAGATGAAGCAGGACAACCTCTGGAGAGAGCCTCAACTCAAGGTTCAGATCTGTGGACACAAACCTGATATTTATATCTATATTTAATTCTTCTTTCCAAGCAGCTATAGCTGTCGGTGTTTTTACTTTATTACACATTTTACTTAATAACAAAGCTTTGGAGAGCGGTTTGTTTATTTTATCTGAATTAAATAGTATATTTATCATGTTATTTGAACTAGATTTTGGTACTATTAAATGTGTCGACAAAAAGCTTTTAAGTCTCAAAAAATTAAACAACTCTTTTGATAGTAAGCTATATTCCTGTGTTAATTGAACGAAGGTTTTAATTGTACCTTCTACAAGTAGCTGAGACAACCGTATAATTTCTGCCTGTTTCAAATTGTTAAGGTTTTTTGTTGTTCAACAAAATTCAACTCTAAGTAGCTTGGAACTTTCTTTTCAATTTTTAATAATTTTTTTTTATTTTAAACCAGCTATTCATTAAATGTGTTAAGATTGTGTTGGAGTACTCTTTTTTTGGAGGGGATTTAGTAGTGTTCCAAATTAAACAATCCAAACTAGGGACTCCTCCTGCAGTAAATTCCATTTTATACCATCCTTCGTTTTTATTATCTTCTATTTGCATCCTGTGAATATGTAAAATTGTAGCTGCTCTATAATTATTTGCTATTAAAGGATAGGCTAATCCTCCTCTGCTTAATTTTTGTGTTAATATTGACTGACTTAGTCTTGGTTTCTTACCTTTTTAAATATATTGGGCGAAACTTTTCTGTATCAACTCCAGCCAATAATTAGAAATATATAATGTCAGCATTTGGAACATGTAGTTCCATTTTGGGATGACATATGAATTAACCACGTTTATTCTTCCCCAGAAAGATATTTCTAAATTCCTTTGTTTTTTTTAACCATTTATTGAGATTTTGTAGTAATTCTAAAAAATGTATCTCCATAATTCTATTTACATCTCTAGTCAATTTAACCCCAAGTAGTCCATACTATTTTCAACCCATGAAAAATGATATCTGTCCTTAATCTTATTTTGAGTTTTCTTGTCCAAATTGATATCCAAAATCATAGATTTGTTTATATTTAATTTATAATTAGATATTTGACTATAGCTGTCGATTTCTGACATTAAAAAATCCAATGAAGTATCAGGATTGCTTATAGTAATTAGAATGTCATCGGCATATAAACTTAATTTCTGTTATACATCTAATATTTTATAGCCATTAATCTTTTTATTATTTCTAATTTTCTCAGCTAGTGGTTCAATAGAGAGCAAATACAATAGTGGTGAAAGTGGACACCCCTGTTGTGTCCCATTTTTCAGTTGGAACCATGGGGCAGTGATGTTTGGTCCTTTTAGTGCGTGCCAGTGGGTTTACATAAAGGGCCATAATGGCTTTCTTAATCCAACCGTCAAGACCGTAATGCAACAGTGCAACATCTAGATAGCTCCAGCTGACTCTGTCGAATGCTTTTTCAGCATCCATCGACAGAGCCAAAACTGGGACCTTATTTCTTTTAGCATCATCCAAAATGTTGATAATTTTCCTGATACTGGTATAAGAATTTCTGCCTGGAACGTATCCTATTTGATCTTGATGTATGATCAATGGTAATAGTTTCTTAACTCTAGCAGCCAAAACTGAGGCATACAATTTGGTGTCAACATCTATCAAGGATATTGGACGATAATTCTTAACGTCAGTAGGATTTTTATTTTGTTTTAGAATTGTTAAGATGTTGGCTTTTAACATCTCTGCTGGAAGGAGTCCTCTCTTAGCAGCACTGTTGAAAGTATTGGTCATATGAGGGCAGATTAGGTCTTTGAATGTTTTATAGAACAAGTTACTAAATCCATCTGGACCTGGGGTTTTAAACCCTTCCAAGTTATTTATAACCTTCATTATTTCATCCATAGTTATATCTTTATTAATTGCTTCTCTTTGTGATTCTGTTAACTGAAACTTATTCATTTTTTCAAAATTTTTTTTATATCTTTAACTGTCATAGTTTGAGGTATGTTGTATAGCTTGCTATAGAAGTCGTTAAATTGTTGTCCTATATCTTTAGGAATTACTGCTGTTATTCTATTATTTATTATTCTATCTACCTTGTTTAGACCCTTTTGTTTTCTGAGTTTTTGAGATAGCAATTTATCAGCTCTATTGCCTTTAGAGTAGTATTTTAATTTTAATCTGTTTAAGCTTTTAACCATTCTTCCATTAATTTCTGATTTATATTATCCTTTATTGCTGATATTTTCTCAGAATTCTCAACTGTTGGGTTCTGTTTGTTAATTTGGATCAACTTTCTTAGCTGAGTATGGAGGTAAGATAAGCTAGTGTTTTTATCAATTTGACTTTGAAGTTTAATAAAATGGCCTCTTATTACTGCCTTAAAGGCTCACCACAAAGTGGATGGATCAATATCTTCTGTACTATTTTCTTTGAAGTAATTACTTATATTTGTTTCAATATGTTTTTTATTCACATCAGAACAGAGCAAACTATCATTTAAACGCCAGCTATATGGTTCTTTTATATTTTTTCTGGCATCTATTACGCATAATACTCCATTATGGTCTGTCCATACTATTTCTTTAATATCTACATTTTGAATTATATCAATAAGTTTGGGGTCTATCCAAATCATATCCAGCCTTGAATAGGAAAAGTGAACTTTAGAGAAGTGTGTATAGTCTCTTATATTTGGATTGTGAATTCTCCAAATATCAAACAGGTTAAATTCGTCTTTAATATTTTTTAAGGATTTAGCTTGTTTAACTACCATTTTTGTTTATTTTAACACCTTTCATTATTTTCTTGTCTATTTGTGGATCTATAACTGCATTGAAGTCTCCAGCTAGTATTACATTTCCTACTTTTATTTCTTCTATTTTTTCTAGAATAGATCTTAAATAGGAAGCTGGTGAGTAATTTGGGAGGTAGACATTACAGAGTGTAAATAAATTGGAATTAATTTTACATACTATTGCCAAAAATCTGCCATCTGCATCTTGTAATTGTTGAATTATTTCTACCTCTATTTTTTCACCAAATATTATGGCTACTCCACATTTTTTTTTATCTTTATTTGAGGCTTGTATAATAAGCGGGAATTTTTTTCCACCCCAAGTCTGTTTGTCCGATTGCCTCCAATGGGTTTCTTGTAGAAATCCCAAGTCTATATGTTCTGCAGCTAAATATTTATATACTAAAGACCTCTTTATTGTTGTATTCATACCTTGGACATTAAGAGTCAACATTCTTATTCTCCGTTGTTATATCTTCAGATATACCTCTGAGTCTTATGTTAAATTTTCTTGATCTATCTTCTAAGACTGCTATTGTTTGTTCCAGAGTTGAAGTTTTATCTGTTAAGAGCTGCATTGTTTCCTTAACTGTGCCTAATTGATTGTCAAACGTTACTAGTTTTTTTTCCAGAGCTTGCACTGATATTGCAATTCTTTTTGTATCTTGTTTAATATCTTCAAGACTCATAAGCATATCTTGTTTTAATGTGTTAAATTGTGACTCTAATATTAATTTGAGCTGATCTTGTAGGCTGTCTTTCATTGTTTCGTGAACTAGTGATAGCCCTTGGACCGCTGAGAAATCTACATTGGTGTTGGAAGTATTCACCGAGTTTATCTCACATTCATTTTTCCGTTCTTGTATGTCTTTAGAGAGGGTCGAAAAAAAAACCAGACATCTTCTTTTCTATTGGCTGTACTGGCTTATTTTCCTTCTTTTTCTCCATGGTAGTTTTTCTAGTTGCCATTTTGCTATTCACACAAGAGTTATTTCAGTAGTGCCTTAATATTGAATTTTTGTTCCAACTAGGCTGAATTTTACATATATAGTAAATTTCTTCTCCTTTTTTTCTCTTTTTTTCTTTTTTCTATCTTTCTTTCTCTCTTTTCTCTTTCCTTAGTTTAGTGACAGCTTCTTAGTTTTTCCTTATGATATCAGCTTATGATATCAATGTATTTGTTGCAGCATATCAATTTTTGATGTTTATTTTTCTGCCTTTATTTATGTTGGTTATATAGTCTTGATTAACTTGATTAGGCTCATATTCTTTCAGCCTCAGCTTATTGCTCTCATTTAATAAAAATATGCTCTGGAAATTTTAATAATTATAACTCTCAGTTGTAGTTAAATTATATATATGCCTTAATTTGAGCAGCATATCGATATAATTTGAGGTACTCATGGAACTTCGACTTCCTCCCCAGTATTTTATAATTATCAGAAGTCATCCATTTGATTTTGCACTTCCAACTCAGCAACAGCCCAAAAAGGAGATCAAAAGTCTGGTATCACTTTTTTATCGTTAATTCTCATTTCCACGCCAAAATTTGTTTGAGCAAATACAGCCCGATACTTTTAGCGTGGTCAGCTTGTTTTCGCGCGCTTCTGCCACAACAGCGTTGTTCCAAACCGCCGAATATGCTCAGCGTGGTTACCTCGCTTCCACGCACTTCTGCCTGATCACCATTTCTCCGGACACTCCCACCTCCTGCACGTGTTGCGTCTCACGTCATCACGTCATCCGCCCCCGCACCTCGCTGATCAAATATTTAATAGATTTGGGCTTTAGAAAAAAACTGCAATCAGCCATTTAATTTTTTTTTTTTAGATGATGAAAACACATATTCAACTTTTTAAAGAAATCCCACTAAGGACTTCAATGAAGTATTCAAATGCCTGTTGGAAGAGGCAAAGACAAAATATGTGATTAATGATAGAGTTTTTTTACTTTTATTGTAACAGTTTCCTAGAATTCCAACCTTTTATTTCCTCACAAAGTACACAAGTCTAACAGGGGTGGGTCAAGGTGTGGGGGCTGTGTCCGACCTTTATTAAATTCCCTGGTGGTCCAGTGTCTCCCTGGTGGTCGGTAGGTTAATCCTCCGGTATGCAGCTCCTCCGGGTGCAGAGCTGCAGACAGTGTGATAGAAGTCTTGCGAGCTCCCAGAGTGTTGCCATGGTAATGCTCTGGGTGCTTGCAAGACTTCTATCACACGGTCTGCACTCTGCACCTGGCGACGCTGCAGACCCGAGGTTCTGGGCAGACTGATTGGAGGGAGCCCGGCGGCATACAGGGTGTCGGGCTCACGGTCACATGCTCTGGGCCTAGCTAATCAGTCTGCCTGCCTGTCTGTTAGGTCCCCGGTGGCGTTGGTCAGCACGACCCACTGGGAATCGCCCCACGACCAAGGCCAGATTAAGAGCCCAGTGGGCCTGGTGCTGACAATTATGATGGGGCCTAATTACAGAATCTTATCGACCAAAAACACTAAAACAGTCATACCTCTCAAGCGTCATGTATCTGATGGAGTTGGTGTTGGAGGGAAACTCAAAGGATGCAGCTATAAGAAAACATATACTCTATGCTAATCTCTTTATCTAATATATGCTTTACTCTTTCAAGTAAATCCATACCCCCTAACAGCAGTGTCCACTGAAGCAGGAAGTCAATGGGCTGGGTAAAAGAGTGGGCCACTGATGCGAATCACGTGACAAGAACTGCCGAAAGGGGCGAACATGCCCAAAAGGGGGGTATGTCTGTCCAAAGAATTGGAAGGCCAGTGTCCCTATGTATCACAGTGTCCCCATGTCACCCAGGCTCTCAGTGTCTGTGTCCCCATTTCTCCCAGTGTCCCCATGTCTCAGTGTGTCCTGTGTCACTAGGATACTAGGGGACACTGAGAGATATAGGGACACTGGGAGACATGGGGGCACTGAGACACTTGGGGACACTGGGAGACATGGGGGCACTTGTGGGTAGAGACATGGAGACACTGGGAGACTTGGGGACACAGACATTTGGGGACACCAGGAGAAATGGGGTCACATACACTAGGGACACAGAAACATGGGGACACAGACATTTGGGCAAACTAATACACTAGGGACACTGGGAGACATCGTGACACTGGGAGACATGGAGACACTAGGGACACAGACATGGGGACACAGACACTGGGAGACATGGGGGCACTGAGACACTATGGACACTGGCTGGGAGACATGGGGACACTGGGAGATTTGGGGAAACTAAGACACTAGGGACGCTGAGAGACATGGGAACACAGACACTGGGTGACTAGAGGACACTGAGAGACTAGACGACACTGGGAGACATTGGGACACTGAGACATTTGGGGACACTAGGGACACAGAGACATGGGGACACTGAGACACTATGGACACTTGCTGGGAGACATAGGGACACTGGAAGATGTGGACACAGACATTTGGGGACACTGGGAGACATGGGGACACTGGGAGACTAAGGGACAGTGTCTCCATAGTGTCTCCATGTCCCAAAGTGTCTACCTATGTCTAACAGCGTCCCCACGTGTCTCAGATATGGGGGCACTGAGACTCGGGGATACTGGGAGACATGGGGGCACTTGTGGATAGAGACATGGAGACACTGGGAGACTTGGGGACACAGACATTTGGGGACACCAGGAGAAATGGGGTCACAGACACTAGGGACACAGAAACATGGGGACACATACATTTGGGGAAACTAAGACACAAGGGACACTGGGAGACATGGGGACACTGGGAGACATGGGGACATGGGGCACTGAGACACTATGGACACTGGCTGGGAGACATGTGGACACAGACATTTGGGGACACTGGGAGACTTGGGGACACTGGGAGACATGGGGACACAGACACTGGGAGACTATAAGGGACACTGGGAGACATGGAGACACTGTGTCCCTAGTGTCTTCGTGTCCCAATGTGTCTACCTATGTCTCACTGCGTCCCCACGTATCCCAGTGTCCCCTAGTGTCTTTGTCCCCATGTGTCCCCTAGTGTCTCAGTGTCCCGATTTCTCCCATAGTGTCTCAATGTCCCCATTTCTCCCTGCTGCCTTTCCCCTCATCCATCATCCATCAGAGCTGTAGTCTGTCTCTGCAGGCTGGGAGCTGCTGCTCTGTGCTGCTTAGCTGCTCCCCCGCACATCAGTGAGTAGGAGGGATATGCTGAAACTTCCTATCCCTGCCCCTCTAAAACATAGTGACCCCTACTGGCCGGTGCTGGTATTGCAGAGTAATCTCTGTTTATACTGAGAAAAATATTTGCATTTGTATTGCCGGTATTACTACAATACCATCACAGCCAGGCAGCCTCAAATACTGGCTGTGCCTTAATATACCAGTCAGGTGGCAAACCTAAGAGTAGTGTGTAAAAAAAAAAATGTAAAAAAGTTTTTTTTTTTTTTTTTTAAATGGGCCTATTCCATGGGCCTGGGCTGCAGCTCCATCAGCCCCTATGTTAATCCGGCCCTGCCCCCGACCCACCAGTCGGTCGCGACCTACACTTTGGGAAACCATGGAGGCATTTGACCAAAACAAATAGGCAGCTATACCACCTGCAAGATTTAGGAGCCTTATAGACAACTATTACAAAAGACTGCACGCTGTCATTGATGCTAAATGGGGCAATACACAGTATTAAAAACTAAGGGTATGCAGACTTTTGAACAGGGGTCATATAATTTTTTTCTTTGTTGCCATGTTTTATTTGATGATGTTTGGTGCCATCCTGTTTGGTCCTTACGGTGTTAAAAATGGTACATATATCACCAGTTTTCCAAAGGTATGCAAACTTTTGAGCACAACTGTATGTAGGTAAATTCTTGTTTATTTAGAATACCCTTTTTAGGTCATCTTCCAAATATTGATTTAACATATTTTTGTATTAAGATTTTTAAATAGTTTTTCGTACTCAGCAGGGTCTTCTAGTTGTCAATAGGCTTCTTTGTTGTAAATCTGACATAGTTAATAGACTTCCTCCTTCATTCACTGGATTGATAAAACTTTAATCTTATATAGTACTATTTGATTTTTCATCCCCCCAGACCCAAGATGTTAATTTGATTGGGATTCACCTTGTCCCACAGCACATAGACTCTTCAGATTTCCTAGTTACACTCAAGATCACATGATCATGATTAGAATAATATTGTTAAATCCCATATGATCATATGATCATAACCAACCTTTAAGTTGTCAGTTAGGTCTTTTTATTGTTCCATGTTCCCTCATTCTTATAATGCCTGTATTTCCCCCTTTCCTTAGTATCCCTTTTCATCATGCTCCATTTCCCATGATTCCAATTGCAATCACATAATCATGCCTCTTTCCATAAGCACTATATTTCCCACATTGCCACTGTAAATCTTGTAGAGTTTATATTTTTTTCAGATAATTACTAATTTAACTTCAGTTCCCTTTTACCATTTATATTAAAGTCTCGTATTTTATCTTTTAACCAAATTTCGAGTGTAAGTTTTTAAAGCGATTTACATTAAAACATATGTTTGTCTCATACATAGTTACATAGTTACATAGCTGAAAAGAGACTTGTGTCCATCAAGTTCAGCCTTCCTCAAGATAATTTATAAACATGTTAAATAGAAGGGGTCCCAGAACAGACCCCTGAGGGACACCACTTGCCACCTCTGTCCAGCTTGAAAATTTACCATTAATGACAACTCTTTGTACTCTGTTTTTAAGCCAATGTTCTACAAGTAAAACAAGCATTTTCATCTAGACCGATTTCCTTGAGTTTGAACACTAATCTATTGTGTGGAACTGTATCAAATGCCTTGGCAAAATCCAAATAGATCACATCCACTGCAACACCCTGATCTATACTTCTACTTACTTCTTCATAGAACGCAATCAAGTTAGTTTGACATGACCTGTGCTTCATAAAACCATGCTGATTTTTGCTGATAACCATGTTCTTCTCAAATTCTTGAATATTATCCCAATAACCTTTCAAATATTTTCCCAGCCACAGAAGTTAAAGGACCACTCTAGGCACCCAGACCACTTCAGCTTAATGAGGTGGTCTGGGTGCCAGGTCCAGCTAGGGTTAACCCATTTTTTCATAAACATAGCAGTTTCAGAGAAACTGCTATATTTATGAATGGGTTAAGCCTTCCCCTAATCCTCTAGTGGCTGTCTCATTGACAGCCACTAGGCGCTACGTGCTTCTCACTGTGATTTTCACGTGAGAGCACGCCAAGCCCATAGGGAAAGCATTATGAATGCTTTCCTAGTGACCGGCTGAATGCGCTACAGCTCTTGCCGTGCGTGCGCATTCAGCCGACGGGGAGGAGAGAAGGAGGATCGGAGGAGGAGAGCTCCCCGCCCAGCGCTGGAAAAAGGTAAGTTTAAACCCCTTTCCCCTTTCCAGAGCCGGGTTGGAGGGGGACCCTGAGGGTGGGGGCACCCTCAGGGCAATATAGTACCAGGAAAACGAGCATGTTTTCCTGGCACTATAGTGGTCCATTAAGCTCACAGGTCTATAATTTCCAGGCAAGGATTTTGAACCCTTTTTGAATATAGGAACCACATCTGCCTTCCTCCAATCCTCCGGAACTCTTCCTGAAAGAAAAGAATCTTGAAAGATTAAAAACAGAGATTCACTTATTTCTACACGTAGTTCCTTAAAGGCCCACTATAGTGCCAGGAAAACATACTCGTTTTCCTGGCACTATAGTGCCCTGAGGGTGCCCCCACCCTCAGGGTCCCCCTCCCGCCCGGCTCTGGAAAGGGGAAAGGGGTTTAAACTTACCTTTTTCCAGCGCTGGGTGGGGAGCTCTCCTCCTCCTATCCTCCTTCTCTCCTTCCCGTCGGCTGAATGCGCACGCGCGGCAAGAGCTGCACGCGCATTCAGCCGGTCACATAGGAAAGCATTCATAATGCTTTCCTATGGACGCTGGCGTGCTCTCACTGTGAAAATCACAGTGAGAAGCACGCAAGCGCCTCTAGTAGCTGTCAATGAGACAGCCACTAGAGGAAATAGGGGAAGGCTTAACCCATTCACAAACATAGCAGTTTCTCTGAAACTGCTATGTTTATGAAAAAATGGGTTAACCCTAGAAGGACCTGGCACCCAGACCACTTCATTAAGCTGAAGTGGTCTGGGTGCCTAGAGTGGATGGATACCGTCAGGCCCTGGAGCTTTGTTTATATTAACTTTCTTTTGTTGCTGCAGCACCTTGTCTTGAGTTAACCAATTACAATTATTCTGCAAGTTTTTAGCCATGGGTTCTTCCTTAATATATATCTAATTGCCATTTTGCACGCATTATTTGCTTCCTTATATCTTTTATAAGATGCATCTGATTTGTCCGATTTAAATACTTTAAATGCCCTTTTTTTTATTTTTAATCTCTTGTTTTACTTCTCCACTAAGCCACATTGGTTTTAATTTGTTTCTTTTATATTTATTTCCCAATGGTACATACTGAGAAATGTACCTTTCTAATATTTGTTGGAAGATGATCCATTTATCCTCGGTGTTCTTTTCACTAAAGAGTTTATGCCAGTCAATATATTGTAAAGCTGCCCTTAATTTATTGAAATTGGTCTTTTTAAAATGATATGTTTTAGTATTCCCCATGTGCTTTTGTTTTTTGAGTTTATTTCAACGGACACAATATTGTGATCACTATTTCCTAAGTGCTCACCTACTTGAATGTTAGTCAAAAGATCAACGTTGTTTGTTAAAACCAGGTCCAGACAAGCGTCCATTCTAGTTGGTGCTTGTACAAGTTGTGACATGAAGGTGTCATTTAACAAGTTTAAAAACCTAATTCCCTTTGCTGAGCTACTAGTCCCTCTGTCCCAATTTATGTCCGGGTAATTAAAATCTCCAATAATTAAAGTATTACCCAGATGTGCAGCTTTCTCAATTTGCTCAAACAGCTGTTGTTCCTCGTCAATATTAACATTAGGTGGTTTATAACATATCCCAATCAATAGTTGGTTTCCCTTCCTTTCCCCCAAGCAGATATTTACCCATAAAGCTTCCACATTTTCCTCATCACATTCCACTTGCTTAAGATTTGGCTTTAAATCATGGTTGATATACAAACATACCCCACCACCCTTCTTGATTTTCCTATCCTTCCTAAATAACATGTACCCATTTAAGTTAACTGCCCACAATGTTTCAGTTATGCCTATTATATCATATTGTTATAGATACATTTATAGGTTTCCTTATTTTGTTAAATATAAGTGGGTTTTGGCTCTTATTATTATTTATAAAGCGCCAACAAATTCTGCAGGGCTGTATAATGGGTGTTGAAAGATATGGTATACAATATACACCAATTAGTGGAACGCTATATAAGTTTAAAGTGATAGAGGGGCTCACTTACCCCATCAATTTTGTGTATTAACACACTTAAGGATACACACTTGAAAATGCATGTAATAGAAAAGAAATATATATATATATATATATATATATATATATATATATATGGTCTTATATACTAATAGGTGATGAAAGTGAAATAACTAGAACCACTCACATGGTCTGGAGCCTATATTATATTGGCTCCGTAAAATAAGCCTTTATGCTCTTTGGGCAGCAACACACCCCTTTCCTCGATGGTATTCCTCCAAAGTGTTATGTTTCCTATGGATTTGAAGTGGAACTCAACTGCAGAAATATAGTTAGGAGAACCCTTAGGGTTTTTAGAATAGTAATTAGAATTTAGATGGAACAATTCCTCATTAAGGAGTTTTACGTGAAGGAGGATTGCAGAGAACAGTTTTTGTAATTTAAAGAAATACAATACGAAGATAATTTGATGATAACAGTTTATGGATCTTTACTGAACACAATGTGAAGATAGTTTGAAGATAACAGTTCATGTAACCTTAATGAATACAGTTTGAAGGTAGATTGATGAGAAGAGTTCATGTAGCTTAAGGAATATAATATGAAGATAGATTGATGAGATGAGTACTGTAACCTTAAGGAACACTACATGTAGATAGTTTGATAAGAAGAGTTCCTGTAGCTTTAATGAAATAATATGAAGATAGTTTGATGAGAAGAGTTCCTGTAGCTTTAAGGAATACAATATGTAGAGTGTTTGATGAGAAGCGTTCCTGTAGCTTTAAGGAATACACGGTGTGCACTATGTTCTTGCTTAATGCTTGTACCACTCCACACTATCATAGTGGAGCCACATTGGTGTCAAATAGTATTTGCATACTATTTACCATTATGAACATACTACACTGATTTCTCAATTTGTTTTTTCTGATTTTTAAACCTATTTGTCCTGACCATGACTTCTTACTTCACTCTTTGTTTTTTTCTGGTTTATCTGGCCTAATTATTGTTAACATGAACCTGCTACCTCCTATTTCTATTCCAAGCGTTAAGCCCAGCCACTCTAAAACCTGGTAATATGCCTCTTCTATCTCTTCTACTGTGCCTTTGTTAGGGGTTGCTGATAATCTAATCTACTTATCACAGGTTGCTGAGGAACCAATTTGTGCCTCATGAAATTATTGCTTCTATTTAAATGGTTCAGAATAAATATGATCTCTAATATAGTGAACGTGAGAATGACAATAATGTGTTACTTTAAATTGCAGACATACAGGGTTATCCCCTAAAGTCTGAATTACCCCTTACCGAATGGGGCGAAAGCATTCGACTGTAATGGGACTATTCGGACTGCAAAATCAAGACATTGTTGATTTCAGAATTTAACAATCTCCAAATTGTGTAAATCAGGTCAAATTTGGTCTGGATTTCAGTTGTACCCCCAAAATAACTTAGTTAGGGTCCAGATGCTTCAACTCTGGTCCTGAATTAAAAAACAAATCTGAACTATTTGACTGCTGGCAGCACTAGCAGCCAATGTGCAAACAGTTAAGGAACTCTCGGCTGTGCTTATGGACATCCGAAGGGGGAGGCAAGGGGGCACGTCGTCGTCGTCCCCGTTCATCCCCCCTCCGCCAGATTTTTCAGCTTGTGCCGGTATTTTTCGTTTGAGATTGAGAATACACTGCAATAGGTGGCTCTGTATGTGAAGAGAGGCAGGGATAGAAAGCTACATCGTATTTCTGCTTCTATCTCCTGACTGAATCTTTGGGATAGCAGCACAGAGTGCAGCCAGCAACTCCCAGACTGCAGAGAAATCCTACAGATCAGGTAAGTGAGGGATGGGGGGCTGCAATAAGCAGGAAGGGGCAGCAAGGAGCAGGAAGGGGCAGCAAGAAGTAGGAAGGGTCTACAAGAAGCAGAAAGAGTCAACAATTAGTAGAAAGGGTCAGCAAGGAGCAGAAAGGAACAGAAATGAACAGGAAGGAGCAGGAAGGGGCAGCAAAAAGCAGGAAGGGGCAGCAAGGATCAGGAAAGGTTTGCAATTAGCTGAAAGAGGCTGCAAAAAACAGGAAGGGTCAGCAACGAGCAGAAAGGTTCAGAAATGAGCAGGAAGGGTCAGCAAGGAGCAGCAAGTAGGAGCAGGAAGGGCCTGCAAGAAGCAGGGAGGGGCAGCAAGAAGCAGGAAGGGGCAGCAGAAGCCTAAATGGGGTGCAAGGAGCAGGAATGGGGAGCAAGGGGCAGGAAGGGTCAGCAAGGATTAGCAAGAAGCAGGAAGGGGCAGCAAGGAGCTGGAAAGGGCATCAAGGAGCAGGAAGAGAGAGAAGTAGCACAGTGAAAAGTAAAGTAGGAGAAGGAACAGAAAGGGTCAGCAAGGAGCAGGAAGTGGCAGCAAGGATCAGGAAGGGTCTGCAAGGAGCAGGAAGAGGCTGCAAGAAGCAGGAAGGGGCAACAAAATGCAGGAAGGGTCTGCAGGGAGCAGGAAGTGTCTGCAAAAAGTAGGAAGGGGCAGCAAGGAGCAGGAAGGATCTGCAAGGAGCAGAAAGGGTCAACAAGAAGCAGGAAGGAGCAGCAAGAAGGGGTAGCAAAGAGTAGGAAGGGCCTGCAAGAAGCAGAAAGGGGCAGCAATGGGCAGCAAGGGGCAGGAAAGATCTGCAAGGAGCAGAAAGGGTCAGCGAGGAGCAGGAACGGTCTGCAAGGAGCTGGTAGGGTCAGCAAGGAGTAGGAAGGGTCAGCAAGGAGTACGAAGTGTCTGCAAGGAGCAGGAAGGGGCAGCAAGGAGCAGGAAGGGACAGAAGGAGCGCAATGGTAAAGGAGGAAAAGGTGCAGAACGGAGCAGCAAAGAGCAGGAAGGGAGAAAAGGAGCACAATGGTGAATTAGCAGAAAGAATCAGGAGCACAAAGGTAAAGTAAGAGAAGGAGCAGAAAGGAGAAGGAACAGAAATGAGCAGGAAGGGACATCAAGTAGCAGAAAGAGTCAGCAAGGAGCTGGAAGGGGCAGCAAGAAGCAGGAAATGTCTGCAAGGAGAAGGAAGGGTCTGCAAGGAACAGAAAGAGTCATCAAGGAGAGGGAGGAAAGGGGCAGCAGGAGATTGAAGGGACAGAAGGAGCACAAAGGTGAAGGAGCAGAAAGACTCAGAAAGAGCACAAAGGTAAAGTAGGAGAAGGAGCAGAATGAAACATGAAGGGACAGCAGAGAGCAGGAAGAGCAGCAATGAACTGGAAGGGGCACACAGAGCACAAAGGTAAAGTAGGAGAAGGAGCACAAAGGGTCTGCAAGGAGCAGAAAGGGATCAGAAAGAGAAAGGAGCAGAAGGGCGCAAAAGAAGCAGAAAGTAACAGAAAGGTAAAGGAGCAGAAGGAGCCAAGGAGGAGAGAAGACAGTGTAAGAATAAAAAGAAGACTGTCAAATGAAGGAGAAGAAAAGGAGATTGGAGAAGGAAGGACAAGTGAAGTGATCCCTCCACTTCATTCTGGACACCACATCATAAGGCTTTGGTACCTGGGCCTGGCAGGGACACTTTGGACCTTCTCATCTCCCCAGGTAAAAAAAATATCAGTGTTAACGTGTTCACTTTTATTTACTCAGTGTCAGGAAGCACAGAGTGCCACTGGGTAGAGGTGCCACTGATTGGAAGGAGTGCCAATCAGTAGCTCCCCATTCATAAAAAAGTAAAACATTTTTATGAACCAGGAACTAGCGATTAGCTTAGAGCGTCAGCTGACCACTCTAGCCAATCAGTGGCATCCATGCCTGATGTCAATCTGCACTTCCTGACACTCTGTTTCAGAAGCCGAATACCACTGAGCGACCTGGAGCTGGAGAAAGCCTTTGGGGTTAAACCATTTGAGAGCGGTTTTTACCCCTTAAAGAAAAGAAAGCGCCCAGGGGCCTCTTGGCATTATAACATTTTCATTTAGATAAAGTTGTTATAGTGACCAGAATGTTCCTTTAATTTGCTTAAAGGAAAACTATCAGGGCTCAAGTCCTGCAGGAACGCATGGGAATGGCGTTCCTGCACTTTTTCCAAAGCAGGAACGCCGTTCCCACTAGTGATCCTGCAGGACCTGCCCTGCTACCTGCACACAGGGGCCCAGCACACTCTGTGTTCCATCTCCAGCTCTGTCTCACATTCACGAGACCCACGAATGTGAGACAGAGCTGGAGAGGCACACACACACACATCTTCCCACACACACACACATCTTCAAACACACACAATCCAGTACACACACACAATCCAGTACACACACACACACACACCATCCAGCACACACACATCACCCAGCACACACACACATTACCCAGCACACACACACATTACCCAGCACACACACTACATTCACTATACACACTATGCATTCATTATACACACCACATTCACTATACACACTCTGCACTCATTACACACACACTACATTCACTGCACACACTGCATTCATTATGCACACTCTTCACTTATTACAAACACACTACATTCACTATACACACTCTGCACGCACTGCACACACTACATTCACTACACACATTGCATTCATTATACAAATTCTGCACTCACTACAAACACACTACATTCACCATACACACTCTGCGCTCACTACAATCACACTACATTTATTATACACACTGCACTCACTACACACACTGCATTCATTATGCACACTCTGCACTTATTACAAACACACTACATTCACTATACACACTCTGCATGCACTGCACACACTACATTCACTACACACATTGCATTCATTATACAAATTCTGCACTCACTACAAACACACTACATTCACTATACACACTCTGCACTCACTACAATCACACTACATTTATTATACACACTGCACTCACTACACACACTGTATTCATTATACACACTCTGCACTCACTACAAACACACTATATTCACTATACACACTGCACTCACTACATTTACTATACATACTCTGCATCTGCACTCACTACAAACACACTACATTCACTATACACACTCTGCACTCACTACAATCACACTACATTTATTATACACACTGCACTCACTACACACACTGCATTCATTATGCACACTCTGCACTTATTACAAACACACTACATTCACTATACACACTCTGCACTCACTACAAATACACTACATTAATTTATACACACCCTGCACTTACTACAAACACACTACATTTATTATACACACTGCATTCACTACAAACACACTACATTCATTATACACACTCTGCACTCACTACAAACACACTACATTCATTATACACACTCTGCACTCACTACAAACACACTACATTCATTATACACAATCTGCACTTACTACAAACACACTACATTCATTATACACAATCTGCACTTACTTCAAACACTCTACATTCATTATACACACTCTGCATTCACTACAAACACTACATTCATTATACACACTCTGCACTTACTACAAACACACTACATTCATTATAAACACTTTGCACTCACTACACACTGCGTTTATTATACACACTGCACTCACTACAAACACACTACATTCATTATACACACTCTGCACTCACTACACACTACATTCATACACACACTGCACTCACTACACAGTACATTTATTATACACACTGCACTTTACTACAAACACACTACATTCATTATACACACTCTGCACTCACTACAAACACACTACATTCAGTATACACATATGCATAGGAGTGTATTTTTTTTAATTATATTTTTAGAGGCGTGGGAGGTGGGGTGAGATCTTGGGTGAGTTCCCACACTTTTCCCCCCAGGACTTGACCCCTGAACACTATAGTATCAGGAATCGAAAAATATATTCCTGACACCACAGTTGTGAATACGCTATTTATCCTGGCTTTATATGATAATGACTATGCCCCTTCCCTGTCAAAAAGGGGGCAAGTATGGATGTCATTACAATTATGCCCCACACCCCTGCAGAAATTCCTGTGGCTTCCCATGGCTATGCTAAAGTTAATTGTGTGGTTGCTGGCTGGTACTTCCTAGCCAGCCACAATATTTAAAAAGTTTTTTTTAAAATACATAAATAAATAAAAATGTTATGGTGTCAATAAGACCTCTATATTACTATAATGGAGGTGTTTTACTCCATTGCCTGCTGAGAAATACGGGGAGGGAGGGGCATTGTCCCTCGTTGTGCAACCACTTCTGGGCATCAGGTGGAGGCTACTTTAAATATAAATGAAATATTCAGAAATTAATATTAGTGCCCACACCCATAGGAAACACTAGGTCCCCAACTTTATTATTATTATGATTAGGGCCCTCACTCATTTCCCCATGGGTGGGGAAACTAGGCCCTCCACCATTAATATTTAAACTAGGGGATGCCCATGGTCTTCCCAGTTGCTAGTTGTAAACATGTATTGGACCCATCCTGCTTTATGACATGTGGGGGCACATGGAGGTAAAATACCTCCATTATAATAATATGGGAGTCCTATTGACGATTTTTATTTCCTTCATTTTTTTCATGTGGTGGCTTGATTGGCAAGTGCTGGCCAGCCTCAACATTATTATTCCTCACAGAGTGGAGAGTTTTTTCACTATTTGCCCATAGCAGACAAAAAGCAGGCAATAGTACCTCACATTATCATTCACTTGCAAAAAGCAAGACCGGCCAAATACTGACTGCATTTTTTTTATGTTGTTACATGATCTTAAACCCCTTAAGGACACATGACATGTGTGACATGTCATGATTCCCTTTTATTCCAGAAGTTTGGTTCTTAAGGGGTTAAAGATGGTGTGCCATTTTTCAATTTAATCTTGTCATATAAGGTACATATTTGTGATGCAACAAGCTTCTTCTGAGGTCTAATTTGTACTTTACTTGAGCAAAAGTTATAATAAAGTTGTAGTTTTACTCAAACTTTCTTCCCTAAAAGTTCACTCATTACAGCTGTGGGCTGCCGCCAGTGTAGGTAAGGACATGCTGTCCAGGAGGATCATTTAATTAATCAATGCAATTAAGCTGCTTTTTTTGTTGCTGCTTGATGGATTTTCTGCTACTGCAACGTAACACTGTACAGTGATACAGAAGGTAGCGCTACTGCTACGTTGTGACAATTGGACCTGCTACCTGCCCTAGTACTTTCTTATTCTGCTTCTTCTCTCAATAATACATACTTGTGGTATCTTTGCAGATGTTGCTTCATACCAACACTCACTTTCCTCACCACACAATGTGCACTTTACAAGTCAGTCTTCTTGGAGGCACTCCATCAATTAAAGTTGCAGGTAGATTTGCATTGGTGACAGAGAAACTGTTTGAACACTAGTTGTTTTTTTTTTAAGTTTCTCTCGCCCTCAAATTGTCTGGAAAAATCTTACATTGAAGTACAAAATTGCTTTACTGCACCTCCCTAAGTATTTTTTTTTCTACCTCTTGATTGGACAGAAAATGCAGCCTATATGATTGGACAGACCTCTTTTCCATTATGGACTACTTTTGCTTATTTGCACCCCCACCATCATTATTAATAATATGCCCCTCTTCCATTCCATCCCCTTTTTGTGCCAGGAATGGTACTGTGATTCATGAATGAAAACTAACATGTTTGGGCTTGGGCTTGCGTCAGTCAACTTTCCCGAGAATCTAGCGTGTGGCAGCTCCCAAATTGGAATTTTATTCGATCACCCAATTTACCAAGATTCTGAACGGCTTGAATATTAAATTCTACTAAAGAGATAGGAAGAGACATAGAAAGGAACAGTGTAAATGTAAATAGTGATGGCTGAAGAGACTGCATATTGTTTTAGGAAGAGTGATTTTTATTTTACAGAAAATTGATTTGCTTGAAGACAACATGCTGTCACTCCCTTGAAACAGCTTTCTTTTTGCAAACACGAAAAACATTGAAAGGATGAATAAACGCCAAGAGCCCCAGGATAAGAAGTGTGATATCCACCTAGAGAAATATAAAGAAAGACAGATTAAAAATCAAGTTGTCCTCAAGGTAATGATCATCAATTGTTATTTAAAAGGTGCTCTATAAGCACCATACCCACCACATCCTATTGTTTTACTTATAGTGCACTATCTTTGAGTTCCATGTTGAGCTTTTTTTTTTTTTTTGTATAACTTTTTATTGATTTTTGAACGGATGGTACAGAAAGGAAGAGGGGTGGGAGAGCAAAGGCATATGTCAAGTAGCTTGTTATATTTTTGCATCATTTTAACATGTTCATACTTTGTTCGATGGTGACGGTGACAAGCATCAAACAGCATACAAATTTCAGGTTTACATTCATAGATTCGTGAAATACATGTGGGCCAGGTTTGTGAGCATCAAGAGCTCATATGTAGTGGTGCTACGGAGGTGTATTGGTATAGGCCTGTTGATCTAGGTTGTTTGTCTTATATGATAGGTTTGTGTAAATCTCCCTTGAGTGCAATTAGAGCATTGCCATCACTAAAATGAGAGTTCTTTTTGTTGTGATCTAAGATGTCTTATAGTACATTCGAGATATCATATGGTACATTCGGAGTGGTAGGATGGACACAGCTGTTGGACTCAGTTGTCTCATCTTATCTGATCTAATCTAATCGCTAATCTTTTAATTGCCGTTTATGTTTGCTTTAGGATTTAACCTCTTAAGGACCGGCAGTCTCCCTGCATCTGATCCGGCCCCCCGGGCCATGTGATCGCAAAGTCCTTGTGAGGACCTCACGATCACATGGACGGAATAGCCGTCCCTAGCAGTGCCAGCAGGGGGAGTGCCTGCAATGACAGGTAGTCCCCCTGCTGCCTGAAAAAACGTTTAGTAAAGTTTTAAAACAGTTTAAAAATAAATAATACATACTTAGATCCTATATATATATATATAAGATCTAAATATATATATATATATATATACACACACACACATACATATACACACACACTTACACATACATACACTGTCTAAGTGTATTTTAATATTCATATATACAGTATCTCCCAAAAGTGAGTACACCCCTCACATTTTTGTAAATATTTTATTATATCTTTTCATGTGACAACACTGAAGAAATGACACTCTGCTATAATGCAAAGTAGCAAGTGTACAGTCTGTATAAAAGTGTAAATTTGCTGTCCCCTCATAATAACTCAACACACAGCCATTAATGTCTAAACCGTTGGCAACAAGTGGAGATGTCAAAATTGGGCCCATTTAGTCATTATTCCTCCCCGGTGTCATGTGACTTGTTAGTGTTACAAGCTCTCAGGTGTGAATAGTGAGCAGGTGTGTTAAATTTGGTGTTATCGCTCTCACACTCTCTCATACTGGTCACTGGAAGTTCAACATGGCACCTCATGGCAAATAACTCTCTGAGGATCTATAAAAAAGAATTGTTGTTCTACATAAAGATGGTCTAGGCTATAATAAGATTGCCAAGACCATGAAATTGAGCTGCAGCACGGTGGGCAACACCATACAGTGGTTTCACAGGAAAGGTTCCACTTAGAACAGGCCTCACCATGGTCGACCAAAGAAGTTGTGTGCACGTGTCTACGTATATATTTATGTAATATTTTTACATAATTAAGTCATTTTATTAATTACAATTTGCACCACCTTCCTGATAACCCAGGCAGAAAGTCCAGAGAATTTAATTGGCTAGCACTATATTTAACCCTTTAACTTTCCAAGACACCATAAAACCTGTACATATGGGGTACTGTTTTACTCGGGAGACTTTGCTGAACACAAATATTAGTGTTTCAAATCAGTAAAATGTATTACAGTGATTATTTCATCAGTAAAAATGCATTTTTCTGCATTTTTTCACACACAAACAGGACTTACACTGACAATATAATTGTTGTGCTATGTTTTACGTTATTTAAATACTAATATTTGTGTTCAGCAAAGTCTCCTGAGTATAACAGTACCCCTCATGTACAGGCAGGGCCGGCCCTGTGTACAAGTTTTATTGTGTTTTCAAAAGTTACAGAGTCAAATATAAGGCTTGTGTTTCAGTTTTTTCATATTAAAATTCGCCAGATTGGTTACATTGCCTTTGAGACCATATGGTAGCCCAGGAATGAGAATTACCCTCATGATAGGAATTTGCAAAAGTAGACAAACCCAAGGTATTGCAAATGGGGTATGTCTAGTCTTTTTTAATATTCAATATTAGTTTTTTGCATTTTTCACACACAAACAAATATTAACGCTAACTTTGGCCAGTGTTTGTGACTAAGTGGCTACTAAAAAAGACTGAACATTCCCCATTTGCAATACCTTGGGTTGTCTACTATTGCAAATGGTATGCCATCATGGGGGTAATTCTTATTCCTGGGCTACCATACGGTCTCAAAGGCAACGTAACTAATCTGGCAAAATTTCAATGTAAAAATTGAAAAATGTAACATGCTATATTTGACCCTGTAACTTCCCAAAACACCATAAAATCTGTACGTAGGGGCTACTGTTTTACACGTGAAACATTGCTGAATACAAAAAGGTGTATTTTATTGCAGTAAAAGCTAAGAGTATTATGACAGTAAAAACCAAAGAAAAAGTTACCTGCGCTCTCTCCTGAATCCCTATGTATATTTAAACAAATGGAGGTAATTTAGTTACTCCAATGGCCATTGGAAGAAATGCCCGCCTGCCAACGTCAAGGCAGACACCCCTAGGCAGGTCCTACACTGACCTTGTGAGCTTGGAGTATTGTTCGTCTTTGGGAATGCGTGAATTCTATTTTTAAATCTTTTTCCCGTTTGCATTGGTGAGGGCATATTTTTTCTTTGTCCATCAACTGTTGTCCATGTACAAACGCTTTACCTTGTTCATAGTTTTTTTTGAACCACGAGTTTAATTGCACATAGGAAAAGTGAGCAATGTTTGATATGTTATATTGTGTTTGCAACATTTCATATTCTTTAAGTTTGCCTTCATGACACTAAGTGATTGCCGTATTTTGGCATTAAAGTCTGGGATCAGGGATGTAAGTGCTTAGATTGGCATTGCCAATGAAATTTGTTCTGATTGGTTTGTTTTTCGACCAAAACGTAAGACACCCGAAAACGGTGAACGTAACCATTTACAAGAAGAACGGACTAAAGACCCCATCACAGCAACTGAGGAAGCCTCCCAGAGAGGTGAAATGCGTTTTGCACATCATAAGGACTTACTACCCATATTGTAAGAACTTTTTATTCTATTTTTATTGTATTTATGTTTGGTGCTCTTTATGGATAATAAAGCACTTTAACCCCTCAGTGGCTAGACGGTTTTTCAATTTTCTTACCGTTAAGGACTAGGACTCTTTTTTACATTTCTGCAGTGTTTGTGTTTAGCAGTAATTTTCCTCTTACTCATTTACTGTACCCAAACATATTATATATTGTTTTTCTCGCCAATAAATGGTCTTTCTAAAGATTCCATTATTTTCATCATATCATATAACGTACTATAAAAAAATATAAAATATGAAAAAAATATAAAACATGAAAAAAATATTAAAAAAAACACACTTTTTCTAACTTTGACCCCCAAAATCTGTTACGTATCTACAACCTCCAAAAAACACCCATGCTAAATAGTTTCTATATTTTATCCTGACTTTAGAAATGCCCAATGTTAACATGTTCTTAGCTTTTTTTTGGAAAGTTATAGGGCTATAAGTACAAGTAGCACTTTGCTATTTTCAAAACCTTTTTTTCAAAATTAAAATTAAGTTACATTGTAACGCTGATATCTGTCAGGAATCCCTGAATAACCCTTCACATGTATATATTTTTTTAAAAGAAGACAACCTAAGGTGTTAAACTTGGGGTATTTTGACTCTTTTCATGCAACCATTTTACCACCAATCTATGCCAAATTAAAAAAATAAAAGTAAATAATTGGTGATTTTTTTGACACACATAGCAATTTAAAGGGATACTATAGTCACCCAGACCACTTCAGCTCAATGAAGTGGTCTTGGTGCCAGGTTCCTCAGGTTTTAACCCTGCAGATGCAAACATAGCAGTTTCAGATCCTGAACTGATCCTGATGAAAGCCACGGATGATGGCTGAAACGTTGATTATGACTATGATTATGCTTTAACCAGAAATGGAATAAAGAAAGAAAATTTTTATAAAAGAAAAAGACCGTGAGTGCAATCCTTTTTTCACTATTTTTTCTATTATTTATGGCTATGGCTGGAATGCACCCGGCATTTGGGAAAATCTGAAAGTGTGTGTACAGGGATAAAAAGGAATATTGTATACAGTATATATAATATATATATAATATATATAAAGTATTCTAAAATTCTTTAATTATTTTATAATATATTATACATATACATGTATTAAATATAGATATAGGTGTATAATATATATGTATATATATATGTATGTATTTTTTTATTTAATTTTTTTTTTTAGCAGCCTGCGGGACTGTCTGACAGCTCAGACAGACAGTCTCCCTGCTGACAGCTCCTACACTCCTATTGCGGCGATGTGATCATGGTGATCACCTGGCCCTGGAGGGCTGGTGTGGCCGGAGCTGCTGCAGGGGGACTGCTGGGGTCTCCGGCAGTCCCCCCCGACCATGATTACTGTGGATCGCTGGCCCAGGTAAGTCAAGGGCTTCTATTTGCTGCGGTCGTACTAGGTATGTCCGCGGCCCTTAACAACCGTTTGTTTTTTTTGACGGACGTACGTAGTAGGTCCACAGTCATTAAGGGGATATACATAGATATATATTTGGATTTTGTATTTGTTGGTGTGGGTTAAGGGGATCCCACATAGGTGTTAGAGTATCAGACATTGTGTGGAAACTCACTGTGATTTTTTAATATTGGTTTTTGTGTGTGCTTGTCCCAGTGTGTGTGTTGTGATTGGAAGTATCTCAGGGTATGCATGACATTGGGTCTTTGGTGTCCAGGCTAGGGAGAATAGTGGGTGACCCCTGGCATAGCTGGCTTCTATCCGGACCCAAGGGGGTTGACTGTGTTGTGCTGCGGATGAAAGGATTGGGCCTATAATTGCCACTTATTGATAGTTATATTTGGTAGTCCAATTGCTCCCACTGAGAATGGTTTGTATAGTGTGGATGTTGCTCTTCTGGGTCTTTTCCCATTCCATACAAATGGATTCTGTGCTTCTATTAAATATATTGGGGGTAGGCGGATTGGGAGCGACCTGAATTGGTACTGACGTTTTGGTGATGCCATCATTTTGATGTCTGCTATCCTACCAGTCCATAAGAGGAATTTCCCTTTCAACGCTTGTAATTGTTTTTTTATATTCTTTAAAAGTTTGGCATAATTGGTTTTGAATAGGGCTGACTCCAATGCTGTGAATGCTACTGCCAGGAATATCAGGTGATCCCTTCTCCAGTCATATGGAAAAGTTTGTTTTAATGCGGATAGTGTTTCGGGTGGAATGTCAAGTCCCATGGTCTGTGTTTTGGTGACATTAAGTTTGTAATTAGAACATTCACTTTATTGTTGTTAGAGTGTATGTAGATTGGGATAAGGAAATGCGTGGTTGTTCTAACGTGAGAAAGATGTCATCTGAGAAAAGCGTGATCTTGTGGTTTTCGCCCCCTACTTTAAAACCATGTATGTCTGAATGATCTCTTATTGACTGTGTTAGAGGTTCTAGGCGAAGGATGTAAAATAATGGGAACCCTGTCTTGTTCCGTTGGTAATGTTGAATTGCTTTGAGATAAAACCTCTATTCACTACTTTTGATGTGGGTCCGGAGTAAAACGCAGAAATCAGGGAGATGAACTGCTTTTGGAATCCAAATTTTGCAAGGATAGAGTGAAGGAAGGGCCATTGTAGCCTATCAAACGCTCTCTCTGTGTCTATGGAGACAAGCACACAAGGTGCCCTCACTCTCCTCTGCTCGCTTCATAAGTTCAGCAGCTTCCTAGACTCCTCCAGTCCCTGCCTCCTTCCCACGAACTCCACTTGATACTCGTGGACAATGGTTGGAATGATAGGAGATAACCTATTAGTATATATTTATAATAAGATCTTGATATCACAATTTAATAACGAAATTGGCCTTAGGTTTTGACATCTATTGGGGGTTTTTCCAGGTTTGGGCAGAGTGGAGATATATGCATATAAGAGCATTTCAGGCAATATGTTACCTATATTTATGATGTGGTTGAATACTCTTTCTAATTTGGGAGCCAGAATATTTGCAAATTGTTTGTAGAAGGAGTTTCTAAAGCCATCCAGGCTGGGAGATTTCCCTGCAGGTAGGGTTTTTTTTATGTTTTTTAGGTTCTCCTGAGTGGTGATAGGGGCAGTTAAGATGTCTTTTTGCGTTTTCGTCAATGACAGCAGATTGCTACGTGTCAGGAGATGTTCAATTTCAGATGTGCTTGGTTGATGTAGTGTTTTGTTCTCTTGGAGGTTGTGCAAGGAATGGTAATAATCTGCCATGGTGTTGTTAATGTCCTGGGGTTGGTATATTTTTTTTACCTGTTTTTGTTATTATGTTTTTAATTTTGGATTGGGAGTGTTTAGTTCTCAACATGTTGGTAAGCAGTTTTCCTGCTTTGTGTGTATGTCCTTACTTTCAATTTCTGTAGTATGCATGAAGATTACGCTAGATGTATGTCGTTTAATTGTTACCTTGTTTGGGTTATGAGTCATGTGTTTTTGGTCTGTGGGGTGTGAGTAGTTGGCATTTGTGGCATCTCTCAATGTTCTGAGTAATGTTATATATTCTGTTTGTGATTGACATTTGAGGTAGGAAGCTCTGCTATTTGTCAAACCTCTGATGACCGATTTGTGTGCCTGCCAGAGTGATAATGGAGTAACTTCAGGAGTATCATCGATGTCAAAGTATGAGGTTATGCAGTCTTTTAGTTTATTTACAAATTCCTTGTTGTGTAATAGCGTTTCGTTTAGGCCCCACGGGGTTAGGTCCCGAAATTGAAAGTTATCTTGTATTGTTATTGTCACAGGTGCATGGTCAGACCATACTATTTCCCCTATGCTAAACTGCATGACATGTGGAAGCAGTGTGCCGACACCAGCACTAGGTCAATCCTAGAATGTGTTTTGTGGACTGATGAGTAAAATGTAAAATCAGTGTCATGAGTCTTAGAGTCCATGTTCCGCAATCAGTTTAGTTATAGCTTTACAATGGTTTGAGAGTGCTGTGTAACTTGTGGATTTGTTTGTGTCTAATCTGTAGTCAAGTTCATGGTTGAGGTCTCCACATATTATCGTAGAATTAGTTTGGTATTGGGGCATTTTTGTGAGCACTTGATGTAAAAAGTAGCGTTGGCGGGCATTAGGACTATATAAATCCAGTAGAGTGAGAGGTTGGGCATTGAGGATGCAATGTAGGGTTAGAAATCGTCCTTGACTATCTTTTCGTATTTGTAGGAGTTCAAAGACTACTGATTTACGGATCTGGAACGAGACGCCTCTACATTTTGATGTGTGTGTTGCATGGTATTGAGTTGGGTATTAATTCAAGCCAAATTTAGGTACCCTGTTAGTTACGAAATGTATTTCTTGAAAGCACAGTATTTCAGTGTGATTGCGTTTGTCATCGTCTAGTAGAAGTTTTATGCGGTGTATTCATACTGCGTACATTATGCAATATATATATATATATATATATATATATATATATATATATATTATATAATATTTTCATATTGTATATTGATGGGAGTGTGTGTAGCTGGGCAGGTCGAGATTCGTAATAGTAAACCGTATGGTTTAGTGGTTGATGTTGTAGGTTTTGATGCTGTGTTGGAACACTGGTGCCTTTTTTTGGATTGGTGGGGTAGGAGAGGTAGAGTAAAATTAAAGCAAGGGGAAAACGTAAAATAGGTAAACAGAAGTATTTACAAAGGTTCTCTCGTTGAGAGACAGAGCGGGTGTTTCACCCTGTGGGTGTGCGGGAGAGCATCGTCTCCTGTTGGGTGGATCTGTTTGGTGGGTTGGTATCAGAGCCAAGATGTGGCTGGAACTAGGATGTTAGTGCCTAGAGGGCTATTAGTGGGTTATTAGTGGGTTTGCACGTGTGGCAGATAGATTGTTACAAGATATGTTGTAACATAAAAAAATTATATAGACAATGGATTAATGGGATACCTAAATTTAGCATAGTCTCCTATCGAATAGGTATCAAATAACATTACATGGTAATTCAAACACATAGGTGTGAATAGACTCAGACATAAACATATTCTGTCATTTTTTTTCTTTTCTCTTTCCTTTTCCTCTCCCCTCTGTGCAAGGTGAAAGTACCCATGCGCCCTCATTGAACAATGGGCTGCATGGGTCTGCATAGCCTATCATAAGGTAATCCCAATGCTTACCCCTATATGTCAAAGGGGTTATTTCTATACTTAATAATTATTATTAGAACATTTTTATAGGATTGTATTCTAAGGCAACAGTAATTTAACATATGAACACAGCAAAGGTGGAGAAGGCGTTGTGCAGGTATACTTGTCCAAGCCTGCAGGCAATGACTGTTCAGACACGTCTCACGTAGGTTTCGCTCTTTGTCAAAGGTATTTTCCGTCCGGTTCTCGAGGTATTAGTGGGTTGCTGTTCCATGAGTCCTCGTTCCTTCAGTTTGCGTAGCCCATCCTCCGGTGATTGCAGGACTTTAATACCGCCGTCTTGAGTAACTAGGAGCTTGGTGGGAAACCCCCAACGATACATGATGAAGTTATTCCTAAGAACAACGAGCACTGGGTGGAACAGTGTGCGCTTCTGGATCATAGTTGCAGATGGATCAGCAAATATCTTGACTGAGGAATAGTCTTCTAATGGTTGGTCTTTTTTCCTTCTAGCCCTGAGCACAATCTCCTTAATGTGGAAAGAGTGTGCCCTCATGAGCACGTTTTGTGGCACTGTATTGGGTAGGTGGCGAGTTCTATAGACCCTATGTCCACTGGTATGTCTGAGGTGTAAGCGTGCATTAGGCCCTGCACATAGAGCTGTGCACATAGATCTGTAAGACTGTTTCTTAGGTGAAAAATGTTTCCCGGTGCGCCGGTCTTCCACATCTATAAGTTTCTCCTCCATTGTGTCTATTTTTTATTCGAGTGCTTGGACATGGCCAGCCAGGTCTTTATGGGCATTGGCAAATTCATCTTCTCAGGTCTTGGATGTCTTTCCATAGATCATCTACGGATGTTTGCCATGAGGTTATTAGTTTGCTCGAGAGAGCATCAAGGGCTTGTTGGAGGTAAGTTGTCGTGAGGTGCTCACCAAAATCCAGGCAGTCGGGGGTAGAGCTGGGGCTGCTTCTACGTCGCTATCTTGTGTTGCAGTTCTTGTGGCCGGGATAGCTTAAGCGTTCTTCTGATTGAAGAAGTTCAGTTTATCCGAGTGTTGTTCTTTTTGTTCTTGTTGTTCTTTTTGGTCTGGGTTGCGACATAGTCTGTGCAGATATTATTTGGTGTCGCTTGCAGGCTCTGATGTTTTTTGGAAAGCTTATTATTGAGCCTTCGTGCTGGAGCAAGAACTTATGCTTCCATCTTGCTTGGCGGTTAGTCACGCCACCTCGTCAAACTAGTTTAGTCTTCATTTTGGATTAAGTTTGGCCCCTTGGGCTTTTTAAAAAGTCCTGATTTCTTTAGTGCTGGTCCTGCCAAGAGATACATATTAGGTGCCCAGTGCGAAAAATGTTCACAGTCCCAAGTCCCCCACCCAGTCATACCCTTATATCCATGTATAGTGTATGTCAATAGGTATAGTGTTTGTATGTGATCTCTGGTGAGCCAATGTGCTGGTAATCTGGTCTGCACCTCCAACTGGTGCAGACCATAAGTAACTGTCTCATGAGCTCAGTCACTACAGTGTCAGAGCTTTCCTGTGGTAAACCGCGGCAACATTCTGATTGGCCACAACTCAGAAGACAGCTACATATTGCATTTTGTGTGACAGAGGTCCACTGTAATAAATCTCATAACAATATGATGTAATGTGTGTGTGGTGTCTGTGTGTGATAGGTGTGATGGCTGTGTGTGATATGTATGCTATGTGTTGGATGTGTGTAATATTCGTAGTGGTTGTATTGACTATGTGTGATATATGTATGTATTGGATGTGTGTGATATTTGTGCTGGGTTTATTTGCTGTGTGTGATAGGTATTTAATTCAGATAAAAGTATCTATGTAGGCCTATGTGTGAATACAAGTGTGTATTTTTGCAGAGTCACATGCACACAGTCCCAGGCACAAAGTTACAGGTTACACACACACATTTGAATAACAAAAAGATTCTGTGAATGGATCACACCAGGACACCTGCTTTGCAACGCATGTGTCTGTAAGTGTGTGCACAGTCACAGAAAGGGTATGCCAGTGAGACACTCCAAGCTCCCTCCTTGCAGTTTTTTTTTGCGCATGTGCAGTGTTATTTTCATCAAGCACATGTTAAGTCACTAAACCTGTGCTTGTAAGAGTCTCCTTGCAGCTCAGCACAGGTTACGTCTTGAGGGTTTCTCCTCTGTGCTATGGGGGTTAATTCTCCTGCAGCACGGAGTCTATTAAACAAAATTACTGAAATGAAAAGGTAATGCATTCGGTATTTGCCTTTTCGTTTCATTTATATTTTGTATGTAGGACTTTCATTTACGTTTTAGTAAACGAATACGAAATAATCTGAAATTTCGGACGAAATCATATTCGTCCGAAAACAAATGCACATGTCTAAAAACATAATATGTATCAAACTGTTAAAACATTATTGACTGTTAAAACATTGACACAAATGTATAATTGTTATATTTATTATTATTATTACTTAAAAAAAACATTAAAAATCATTTAAAAGACAAAGGAGTGTTAAATCAATTTAACTGGAATAATCTGGAATTTATTTTCTGGAATGACTGGCTAAACATTTTTATTTGCTCTAATTGTTTATTTTTGTAGTGTATCGATAGACATAGAAACTTTTACTGACATATCATCAAGAGTAAATGTGACAGTCATTGCATTTATGAGAGAGGACATGCCAAGAGACTTGCACTTTTTTTTTTTTTTAAAGAGAGTTTAACATCACAAGTGTTTTGCAGTGCAGTGGTGCAAACATAGAGCACATGACATATGATGCAAAAACAGAACAAAATGAAAAAAACAGGCATATAGCTAAAGCTTAGAACGTCATGCTAAACTGCACAATTTGAAAGTAAGAATTAGAGTATTCATGCTGGGTATACATGTCTAGGTACAAATTAAACTCAAGATATGCACTCCTTTGAAAATATAAACAGGGTGTAAGACATGTAGCTGATTGGTCAGGCTTGTCACCCAGTGTTAACTGATGGTATTATAAAAGACAATTGTATTATATAGCTTGAAAAAAATATAGATACATGTAGGCATATCAGAGTAATGATTAACATGACTGAGTGTATATATAAGCCACTTGGGAGCCCTGCATCTCAATAAGTTGTCAGAAAGGTAATTTGACATCAGTGTCAGTGGGAATCAGTGGCGCTATCTACACACAGGCACAAAGGAAAAAAAAAAGGGTATAATAAACAGGTGCATATATAGAGAGCCTGTCAAACGGGCAGCAACATGGCGATTATAAATCAGTCTATCCCCTCACTAAGCAATGGCACATAGGTGTTGATCTGTTCACAGGAGCCCCATGAGAACCCCAAAACCACATTTCGCCAGCCACTGGCCTTCACAGGAACCTACACTCCAGCTCCACTGTCCCAGACATTAACAAACTCTAGGGCCTTTTTCTAGGGTAGCCATGGCTTCGGACATTGCGGACGCCTCTGCGGCAATACCTTCCGTGGGTGTGGGCAACAAGGGGGGCATCTACCCAGTTTGGTTCCCAGTCTGGGAAGGTGCTTCTGCTACTCAGTGGCAGGAGTAAATCTCAATTCTTCAAGACTGGCATTCCGAGGGTGCCAGTCTCCGGCTTGTTGATGCAACATCTCCCAGAAGTGCTCAAACAGCCAGTCATATTTAGTGAGGTCAGTGGTTAGTTGCAGGGTTAAGTCAGCTACATGTTGTCACACTGCCATTTTGTAAAGCAGCCCTAAGTGCCTCTGTGTACAGATATTTTCCGATGCAGGTGAGTGCGGCAGCTTCCCCAGTGGGGACCTGGATAACCCCCACCAGTCCAAAGGGGGAGGTAACGGGGCCAGCAAGATGTAGTGTTGTAGAGCCTGTGTGATTCCCCTAGGCAAAGGAGCAGGGCGGAGCCGTCCACCCTGCTTACTGTCTAAGTAGTCCTCAGTCACAGGAGCAGCAGTTCTCCCTCTAAAGAACTCAAAAATCACCTTATTTTGGGCGTATACCCAGCTCCTGCAGTTGTCATCATATATTTGTTGCTGGATGGTTAATGTTTTGGCTGTTATCAGAAAAATAGGCCTCTTTGTGCAGGAGCTACTCTTGCATGCAGCCTGCTAGCATGGTGGCCAGGCCCCCGCCCCTTTGGCTAAACATTTTTGACAAAGATGAATTCTTTGATGATGATGAATTGACTCAGCTATGTTCCTCGCTATTGTGTATTTCTAGCTTCCTTTGACCTTGGCTTGTTTCTGGCATTTCTTGTAGTTTCTTTTATTCTGGCCATCCTAAGGACCGGTTTAGGGACTTTCTACCTGTCTCTATTGTTCTGGTGATTTTCACTCTGCGCATTGGGTATTAACGTTACATTACAACAGGGCCAATGGACCCTGCAGGTGTTAATCCCCAGATAATGGCTCAGGACGCTAGGCTGGATGGTATGGACCACCGTATGGATCAAATCGCCCAGGCCATACAAACACTGATTAATCCATCTAATGAACCTGCTGGTGCCCTGTACCGCTGGTGCTGAATCTTCTACCCACAGCCATAACTCTAATCCCAATCAACCCATACATTATAATGGGGATCCATCGAAATGTAGAGGGTTTCTTAACCAGGTTAGCATTTTGTTTGAATTATGTCTCAGAGTGTACCCTACTGATAGGGCCAAAATAGGCTTTATCATTACCCTGCTAACTGATAGAGCCCTTATTTGGGCAAATCCGCTATGGGAGAACAATAGTCCATTAGTTTTTGACTACCCTCAGTTCCTAGCAGCGTTCAGGAGGGCTTTTGATCCTCTAGGCAGGAAAGCCAATGCTGCCAGAGCTCTCTTGCGATTAAGACCAGGAAACCGTTCCCTCATGGATTATGCTTTAGAATTCCGTTCATTGGCTTTAGACATCCATTGGAACAACCAGGAATTCATGGATGTGTTCCTTAATGGTCTATCCGATACTATTTTAGAGACCTTAGAAGAGCCAAGATAGCTTCTATGTTGACGCTCTTCCTCAGAAAACCTTGTCATACCTAATTGCATAGGTTCTGGGATAGCGACCGTCATAGACTCAGAGGGGAGAGTGGGAGCTGGTCTGATAGCCTGTCTTCTGGGCCTTTCTCTGGTGTTTTGCCTGTGTCTAAGCCTCTCATCAAGCTATCTTGGACACATTGATGATAAAGTCTTGTGTAAATTATTGAACAATGGCTTGTATTGCAAATTGTAGAAGTGTTTATTTGATCAGGAAAATGTGCATTTTCTGGGGTATATAATCGGGTTTCGAAATGGACCCCCAAAAACTAGATGCCATCCATAATTGGCCCTTACCCACAGGGTTAAAAGCCATCCAACATTTCATTAGGCTTTCCAACTACTATATTTATAAAACGGTTTTACTCCATAATGTCGACTATCTCAAACATGACAAAAAAGGGCAAATCTAATCAGGTATGGACTCCGGAAGCACTAACTGCCTTTGACACCCTGAAGGTTGCATTCGCTTCAGCACCTATCCTAGTCCATCCGGATCCATCACTCCCTTTTCTTTTGGAGGATATATGCATCTGATACAGGTGTAGGGGCTATTCTCTCCCAACGTCTCCTGATCAACCCCTACATCTGTGTGGATTCTTTTCTAAGAAACTTTCCAAAGCAAAGAAGAATTATGAGATAGGAAATAGGGAACTCTTAGCAATTGTACTGGCCCTCAAAGAATGGCGTCATTTGCTAGAAGGCTCTTCAACTCCTGTTACTATCCTGACAGATCATAAAAACCTATCATACATGAGCAAGGCCAAGAGACTAACAGCTAGACAGGCTCGGTGGTCTTTGTTATTCTCACGTTTTAACTTTGTACTTACTTATAGACCAGGTACCAACAATACGAAAGCAGAGGCATTATCTCGTCAATTCGAACCTATCTTTCCAGCTATGGAAGAAGTAGCTTCTATTATCCCTAAAAATAAAATTATAGCAGTTACCCATCTCAACATTCAGAGATGGTTCAGATCTCATTAGGTATTTACGAGATGTACAAAACATAGCACCTAGTCAAACTCCACAGGATAGGCTGTTCGTCCCTTCTGAATTCCAAAGGGAGGTCCTAGACTTATGCCACGATAAAAAGACAGCTGGTCATCTTGGAACCAAGAAGACCAGTGACCTCATTGCTGATCGGTTTTGGTGGCCTTCTTTTAGGCTGGATGTGAAGGATTACGTACAAACATGTCACGTATGTGCCTGATCTAAAACCTCACATGCCTTGCCCTGTGGTCTGTTGCAACCTTTGGACATACCTAAAAAACCCTGGTCTAGGATATCCATTGATTTTATAGAAGAATTACCTAAATCGAAGGGTAATACCTTGGTCTTAACTATCACATTTAGGTTTTCCAATATGGTACATTTTGTTGTCTTGCCTAAGCTTCCCTCGTCTATCGAATTAGCGTATATCTTTGCTAGAGAAGTATTCCGCTTACATGGCATACCCGAAGAGATAGTGTCCGATAGGGGTCCTCAATTTATCTCTAGATTCTGGAAGGCATTTACTAACCAACTTGGTATCAAGTTATGTCATTCTTCAGCCTATCACCCTCAATCCAACGGTGCTGCTGAAAGGACTAACCAATCCCTGGAAAAGTACCTACAATGTTTTCTCTGACAACCAGGATAATTGGGCGAAACTGCCTGGGCTGAGTTTGCTCATAATTGTACCCAAAGAGAGTCCACGAGCCACAGCCCTTTTTACCTCAACTATGGCTACCATCCTTCCATTCTTCCGGCTGTCTTTCCTTCATTGGACATACTGGCTGTAGAGGAATATTTGGGTGGCCTGAGGGCCACGTGGCAGCAGGTTCAACACATCCTGGCTCATAAAGTCGCCTTGCAGAAAAAATACGCCGACAGACACCGACAAGCTGCTCCGACTTATCAAGTGGGTGATAGGGTTTGGCTCAGTACCAAGAATATCTACCTGAAAGTATCTACCAGGAAACTGGCTCCTCATTTCATAGGTCCTTATCGGATTCTGAGATGTGTGACCCCGGTTTCGTACAGGTTACAATTGCCCTCTGCTTAGCGTATCCCTAATATCCATGTGTCGTTATTGAAACCCCTTTCTTGCAATAAGTTTACTAGACCCTTCTTAGCTCCTGCTCCTGTTGTGGTGGAGGGGCATGATGAATACGAGGTCCAGTTTATTGTGGATTCTTGTCACTCCAGGGGTGTTCTTCAATACTTGATTCATTGGAAGGGATATGATCCTGAGGAGAGGTCCTGGGTTGGGGCTGATGAAGTCCATGCTCATCGCCTTCTCCAGGCTTTCCATTCTTGCTTTCCCGATCGTCAAGTTGGTTTCCGCCCGGTGGGCGGTTCTAAGGGGGGGGGGGGTGATGTAAGCTGTCAGTCACTTACCTTGTCGGTCCCATGATGGGAAAGGATGCATTAAGCATCAGGGACGCCGGCCGCTATGCGTCCGCCCCTTTTAAAGAGGCGGCACATGCATACCAACGCCCTGTGTTCAGAAGAGCTCTAAACAAGAGAGCTCAATGTAAACGTTCCTTTTGGGGGCGTGGTTATGAAAATCACACCCCCAATCATATAAAAGCCCAGTCTGCCTCCAAATCAGTGCCCTGTTGTGGTTCCTAGTGTGCTTTGTGTTCCTAGTGTCAGCACAGCGCATTCCTGTATTCTTTTGATTGTTCTTTATGTATTGACCCGGCTTGCTCTTGACTATTCTGATTTCTGGTTTCCCTGACTCTGCTATGTTCCTTGCTATTGTGTATTTCTAGTTTCCTTTGACCTTGGCTTATTTCTGGCATTTCCTTTAGCTTCTTTTATTCCAGCAATTCTAAGGACCGGTTTAGGGACTTTCTACCTGTCTCTATTATTCTGGTGAATTTCACTCTGCGTATTGGGTATTAACGTTACAACTGCTTTACTGCTTCCTTCTTCAGAATGTTCACCCAAGGTTATTTCTTGTTTTCATAACATTCAGGATATTTCTCTACCGTTCTATTTTCCATCTTATCCACTCTGGAATAAAATTAATCTTGGAGGAAACTGGATGATAGATGATGCCACCAATTTTATGTGGATCAAACAAAAATGAGAGGAACTCATCCAAATTGTCTATTTGTTTGTTTTCCTGCCCTGACACCTGAGAGGTGGAGCTAACCCATTAGTGCCTCTGTCATGAAAAATAGCCTGGAAAGAAATTGATGGTAAGTATGATAAAGTCTCCTTTTTCTGTATGAGTTTACTTTGGTAACATACTTTATTCTTAGTGTGTACATAACATGCACACATGACATTTTTATTTATGTTTATTTTTGTTGGTTTAATTTATATCAACTTCCTACTACCATATGTGGTTACTAAAAAGATGGAAAATATGGATAACACAGGTAGCCTACATTGTCTATGATATCTATGTTGCTCAAAGACTCCTTTAGTGCTGAAAGTCATATTTCTCAGATAACAGGGTTATTTCTGTCAACTGTTTAAAGTAGGCTTAACAATCACATGGAGCAATGGTGTAACATTAGTAATATATTGTTACAGATACTTAATGGTGAGTATTTATGAATGATTCTTTGGATTGTAAATTCTACAATAGTTTGCCAATTCTTGGATGACATAAAACAAAACAGCAAAATTCTATGTATTACTCACATAAAAGGGGTCACTCTGTAGATGCGTCCGGATAATGTAAAATGCTGGATATTGCAAGAGCAACACGACAGCTGAAAGAGACATCACCAGTCCAAACAGCTTCCCAAAATGCTGGTTTGGAAATCTAAAATACCAAAAGCAAGTGGAAAGATGACATCAGTATCATTGTATTAATCATTGAAACATACTGACATATATAGATTTATTGCATAAAGAATGAGTTGTGATAAGGAGACATTCACAAAACTGAAGATGAATATTGAAGATATTTAAAAAATATTTAACCCATGCAGGGTCGGATTTACCATAAGATCACCGAGGCAGTGGCTTTGGGATGATAGGCATGAGAGGGGTGGCATGGTCAGCGTGGAAATCAAAGACCACACTCATTGGCCAGGAGAGCAGTAGTGGTTGCTGTGGCAGTGTGTGCAGCATCCAACCCACACAAAAAGGAGACTACTGGCTATTGGCAAACCAGCAGCTTAAAATGCTCTGAGCCAATGGGCCAGTGTGTATATATATGTGTAAAAGGGACAGAATAATCTATCCAGAATAGAGTGGAAAAACAAGGATTGAACTGGGTTTATACTGGAATCACAACTCTCAATAATCTCAACTGGTTAGATAAACCCCCATTAATAGCTTAAACAATGAACGCATGTATGTGTCTATATGGGTCAAAAATAGTTGGTGCATCAAATATAAGACATAAAACATGAAATAGAAAATGAAAATAAAATAAAATAAAATACCAGTCCATAGTCCCAGTGTAGCAAGAAGTATAACATGTGAAACCAATAACAAATGGTAATAAAGTCAATATATCAATATGTATCAGCTTAAAGATATCAGACTCCTGCTACTAAATTGTAGGAGCTGTAGTCACCTGTCGCTGATATATTATATAGAACCTATATTTGCAAATATAAGGTTTAGGTACAAAGTCTTCTTGTTCCTAAATACCTATTGATCATTAAATCGGTCTCTTCAATCATGGATGTCTTATGATCTATAGGGAACAGAAAATGGAGACATAGTTCTCTCTGTTTTCCATTTATTCAAATTAACAAACAGTTAAAAACACTTACAAAATGTATGAAGTTATGAGCATATCTGTGGTAAGAAAAGGAGTCCTGGAGCCAGATTGTAAAGAAACCACACAATTAGTTTGTTAACTTAGATTGTTCTCGTTCAGTAGATAAAACGAACGACCACCGACCACCGCCCTGGCTCATTAACTACAAAGAAAAACAACAGATTAAGTGCTCTCCCTGTGGGGCCGCCGTTCATATGACTGAACGTCATGTGTTGGAGAAAACAGTGGCCATCTTGTTTGCACAAAAAGAGGCTGCGGGACTTGGTCGTTGAGTGTCTGGAACTAAAATTGGACACTCAACTTCCCAACCGCCGGTCAACTTCGCGAACGCCTGCTTTTTTTCACCGACCAGCCAAGAGAGCACTATTTGGTTTTGTTACCATGAATTAGGGGGACAAACGCTACCCATGAGCCAGGGGAACAGTTCGTGAATTTGTTCGTTTTTTTGACTTCCCAAAATGGACCGACCGCTACCTCTGACACTGTGGAACTGTTTTGGGCATAGGATCTTGTGTGCAGTCGGTCAAATTATGACCTCCATGGAAATCCCGAACCCCTGAACTGATCTTTGTGATTTTTGGATATGTTGGTCCCCCAGATCGGGGATATCAGGGAATATGATTTTTGTGGAGTTTCCATTTATTTTAAGGTACTTTCTGGGTTTTGTTGAAATGTATGTTTTTTGTGCCTGGAGATACTGGAGTTTAGTACAATTCTTGACTCAATTATCTCCCAAGCATAGCGGAAGGAGTATCCTATTTTATGTGGGAGTGTCCTGGACCTGAGAGCCAATGTATTTACAGTATGAATTTTATCATAGTCCCCTCTCAGGTCCATTGGGGGAATGCCCCGGAATATGTCACTGTAAACCCTTTTGCATATAAACCGGCCAGTTGGCTTGAATAAAGTCATCCCTGTTGTACCCTTCATCTAGTCTTTGTGTGGGGGTCAGTCTGTGTATTTATGGGTGTGTGGGGGTCAGTCTGTGTGTGGAAAAGTCAGTCTGTGTGTGAGAGGTTCAGACTGTGTGTAGGGGGTAAGTTTGTATGTATGGTTCAGTCTGTGTGGGTTGGGTCAGTCTGTGTGTGTATGGGTGTGTAGGGGTAGGTATATAACTTTTGAGTCCCGGTGCACCCTACTGGTTATGAATGATATTACAGGTTACAATAATTGCACATGATTATTTCTATTTTTATATAGAGTTGTTATTTCTGCTATATCACCCTGCCATTTGGTTGACATCTTATGTGTCACATCCTGTTCCTAGCTGTGGATCCTTCTGGCTATGGCTTCTGGTATCCAGTACTCTTTTTACAATTCTTGTTTAGTTTTTCTTGGTTTTTCTGGTTTTCTATTCTATGTCTGGTTTTCTTTTTGCTGGGTTTTCTGGGTTCATTCCTGTATTCCGTTCCTGGAATTCCCAGTCTCTTGGATTCTGTTAAATATTTGTTTTATGTTGCCACACCCGTTCCTTTTCCATGATTCCTTTTGTTTCAGATGGTCCCTGCAGGCAGTTGCTCAAGTTCTCTGCTTTTTCTTGCAGGTAAGTGCTGTATGTGCTTTATTATGGTTTATTTAGCAGACATTAGGCAGAGTAGAATCTGCCAAATATGGGGTACATTGGCGTTATGGCAGGCTTATGCAATGTATGATCATATAATGTAACTAAATCCCCATAGTTTTTAACATATAGTACTTAGTTATGTCTCCTCTTGTTTTGCCTTGTATCTCTGGTTTTGTTTTATTTTGTCTTGTATTCCCAGTTCATGTACAGTCCTGTCCTGCCCTGTTCTATTTTTCCTCATGTCTTGTGTATGGGTTCTGGGTTCTGCTTTCTGCCCTGCTCCGGTTCTGGGTTCTCCTAGTTTTGTCTTGTATTCTTGTTTGGAGCTTATCCTAGCCTTGCCTTGTTTCTGTACTGGATACATTCCTGCTGCAGAGCCTCCCTATTCAGCTCCTGGGAGGTCTGCTTATTTCCAAGCTCCTAGTTCCTGGGATCCGCTGTAGCTGCATCAGGGTCCTGGTATGTGGTCACACAAACGCCGGTGCACAACACCAGTGGGCGTACGGTTACCCTGCACCAGACCCTGCTAATCCACTTCCACTGTGACTCCTACTTCAACATCAGGCATACTGGGTCCCGGTTGTCCGACTGCCACCCAGTCAGTGTCTGGGTCCCGGTCATCGGACCGCCACCCTGACATTATGTCATTGTGATGTTCTTCCCACAGGTGCATTTGGGAAGATTAGTCAGAGAAATTGTTCCTGCTTTGACAAATTTGTCCTTTTAGGTTGGTAATTTGGTTTAAGTTTGGCTTATTTCAATAATCCTTTTGACTTTACAATTAACATCTGAAATTCCTTTGGTGCTTTTGTCAGACCAGAACTGTGGCATTTACAAGTTTCTTCCATTGGTGCCAGCTTTTGCCAATTTCACTCCTCGCATCTAGGTTCTGGGTAGGTTACTCTATTATTACTCAGGCCCACGATCTGGCCCACATACGTATATATTGATATACTCAGATACTTATTACGTCTCATCTATAGGTTGCAACATGTATCTTCTCCCACCCTCTTTACCCTAATTCTGCTAAGAATCATAATTTCTGATTCTAACTCTCTCGACATTTACAATTCCTATATCTTAACCCCTGTGAGCAGATAGTACTGGCTATCAGGGATTTAGGTGTCCAAATAGCTTATATTGGCTAGAGGCCAACATCCATCCTCATACTCAGAGGTATACGCCCATCGGTCCAAAGCATAGTTATTCCCCTCTCATGGTTGCATAGAGAGGGCCTCATGTCACTCCCACACTATTTTCTGCTTTAATAATCACCGAAAGGCCAACACCCCACCCCAACGTTTTGGTGGGCTCAAGTCCTCAGGCCAACGCATAGTTAGAGCCTCTCACGCTGCTTGGCGACTAGCAGGGCCTCACCTGTCACTTTGTGGTACTATAATATTTTCGCCGTTTGGCATTAGCTAGCCAGCCCAAGGCTACGTTGTCTCACTTATAGTAATTACAGATATATATATATTTCAGTATGTCTCAAGTTCCTGAAGTACCAGAAGAACTGTCCCTTCCTACTAGGTCCTGTACCCCTGCCCATAAGCTGATGTGACTAGTCCATCTTCTCTTAGATCATGGACTATTCCATGTCTCACAGCAGAGCTGCTTTGAAGATGTATTCCTTTCCCAGCTACTGCCAGTAAAGCAGAGATATTCAGACTGCTCAATACCAACACCGACAACTCGGATGCAGGGGAAGGGCCTAGTGGGACCCAGATGCCAGCTCTTCATGCTATGATGACCTCGTTGATGTCTTCTATTGGACTAATAAGTGATAGACTGGAGAAATTAGAAGCAGTCTGTTCCTCCAATGTGCTTGCAGGGCCTGCTATTCCTGATTCTGCGGGCTCAGCTGTCACGCCCGGTAACTCTCTTGCCCCATTTAAGGGCCCCGAAAGTATCAACCCATCGCATATGGTCCCGGCTAATCTCAAGAAGGACATGCTGGAGGGCAAGGATGTTAACTTAGTCTCGCTCCTCATTGCCTCCCAGGATGTCCTTGAGAACAGGACCTTTGCGTATGGGGACATTAGTGGTGCTGAGGTCAAGAGATCCTAGGCTGAATAAAAACTGTCTACATCTGAATTTGTGTTAGGTTTTGGGATTTATAGGGATGTGTATTGCTCTGTTTATCTTGAAAAAAGGGAAAAGTTGGACATATACATGCACAAGCTGGTGGAGCGGAGGGAACAAATACGGTGGTACAGCCTTCTATGACTACCACCGTTCCTTTTCTGCAAAAGTGGCTGCAGCACTGACTCAGTTTAACTACGGTATAAATTGGAGTAAGTTAGATACCGAGTTATTCTGCAGGCATTTTGCAGGCCTCAGGACTCTGGCTTGTGCAGTTTGTGCATCCACGGTACACTGTACCAACCTATGCCCTAATACAACGGAAGCTGAGTAGGGCCACTCAGGCCATAACACTGCAAGAGCAACCAGAGGTTTGAAGGATAAGCTGGGTAGGGACATAACCTTCCTGGGCAAGTTCCAAATATGTAACAATTTTAATGTGGGTACTTGTGGGTTTAGTTCCTGTAGGTTGTTACACGTATGTGCTTACGGTTTCTGGGCTCACCCAAAAACCATGTGCCCTAATAAAATGTTTCCTAAACCATACCTCACTTGCATCAACGTCACGTTATTTGCTGCTCTATTACAACACCACCCCTCACAACACTTGGTTAAATTTCTCACCAAGGGGTTGTCTGAAGGTTTTCACATGGGTATCATACACTTGCCATCTGGTACACTGGAATGCAATAATCTACAAACAGCAATGACAGATCCAGAGTTAGTGAGTGATCTTATCAAAATTGAGTTGTAACAGGGTTTTGTGTTAGGGCCATTTGTTCCCCCGCCTTTCACTTCATGGAGAACTAATCCTATTGGGGTTGTCACGGGGAAAATCTTCACATAAACACAGACTTATCATCGACTTATCAGCACCACATTCCTCCACTATCCCCAGTCTTAATTCCTTCATACCCTCTGATGAATTCTCTCTGCATTATGCCATTATTGACAATGCCTTCTGGGCCATTTTGGCTACTGGGACAGGAGCATGGCTCAGTAAAATGGACATTGCCAATGCTTTCAAGTTACTTCCCATTCACCCCTCACTTTGGCATCTGCACAGCATCTGCATGGCATTAAGTGGCAAGGTTTATATTATCTCTTCTCCCGATTCACGTTCGGCTCCAAGAGCGGCCCCAAAATATTTGATATCTTCGCTGAGACCTTGTGTTGGTTGCGACTTATTGTGTGCAGATGTCCGACTGTTCACTAATCAGATGACTTTCTCATGATTGAAAACAACTCACTAACCCCTAGCAGCCTCAAATACATGACGGCTCTTTTTGAATCCCTGGGTATACCGGTCTCCCTTAAAATAACGGTAGGTCCGGACATGGTTATGCATTTTCTGGAGATTCAACTAGACTCAGTTTACATGCAGGCAAGTCTTCCCCAGGAAAAGATTGAGAGCACCCAATCAAGCATTGAGCTGTACTTGCAGCTAGATTCTTGTAACCGGAAAGAACTTCAATTTCTGCTTGGGTCGCTCAGTTTTGCCATGAGGATCATTTCCCAGGGTAGATCTTTCATTTCCCGTCTACAGTCATGTTCCTGAGCAGGATGGAGAGGAGACAATTGCCAGAGTTATTGGTTGAAACTTCATCTGTCTTTTTAGATGTAACAATTTACTTGTAAGAAAGAATTAAGGCAATATGCCACAAACAGGATACTTTGCGTAAAACAGAATAAAAGGCAATATGCCACAAACAGGATATCTTGAAAGTAAATGAATAAAGTCTTTTTTATACAAGTAGGTTTGACGTTATTCCCAAGTAGATTAGTAGTCTTTGGAATGTCAAACTGCAGCCAGGTTCAGGATGACACAGGGTTGAAAGGTTAAAGCTGGTAAGTACATTCAGTATAATATAGTACAGGCTGCTTAAAGGATTATGCAGAGTTGCAGCAGTTGAGACAGGTAAGCAGATTCCAGTATAATGTAATACAGGTTGCTTACAGGATCATGCAGTGTTGCAGCAGTTGAAGATAGGAGTTTCAGGAGGATCCCGGCGATGGGACACACAGAGTCTCAATAGAGGATCAGGTTGTTTTCAGGAGCCAGGATACGAAGTTCCATGTCAGAACACTGACTTCAATGTAAAGGCCATGTGAAGAGTTAGGTGTGGCCTTTTATAGCAGACTTGGAAGATCATATGAGGCAGGTGAGAGCAACTGAGGATTGACTAGTGGCTAGGGAGGCCACTAGAGGCGAGAAACAGGTATTGCAGCAATAAAATAAAACAATACCATGGTTGTCGGGATAGGATCCTAACATAATCTCCTCCTTCAAAAGCAGACTCTGGATGCAATGGTTTCATGCAGAGTAGAATAGAAGGTAGTATAGTTGTACACAGACCATAATGAACAGAAAACAGTCATTATTTCTTTCTCCTATGTTTTTTCTTCTCTTTGACTTTAAGCATCTGCAAACTTCTGAGGGACGAAACCCATAAATTGAGAAAAAAGGAGACATTTTGGGAAAAGTAGAGGGACGAAACCCTTAGGAGGAGAAATCCTTTTTCTTAGGTTTTTTTTTTTTTTTCCACACAGGTGATATGCAGGAGCTTGATTGCAACAAGCAAGAAATAGATTTGCAGATTTCTAAGAGGCTTTCAGCAATGATTGTTAGAACACTGGTTTAATCCTGTAACATCCGGTTTAAGGCATTTTACATTCTGTAATGTCCCTGAGCAGGACGGAGAGGAGACAATTTCCAGGGTTATTGGTTGAAACTTTGTCTTTTTAGACATAACAATTTACTTGTAAGAAAGAATTAAGGCAATATGCCACAAACAGGATACTTTGAAAGTAAAACAGAATAAAGGCAATATTCCACAAACAGGATATCTTGAAAGTAAATGAATAAAGTCTTTTTTATACAAGTAGGTTTGATGTTATTCCCAAATAGATTAGTAGTCTTTGGAATGTCACACTGCAGCCAGGTTCAGGATGATACAGGGTTGAAAGGTTAAAGCTGGTACGTACTTTCAGTATAATATAGTACACGTTGCTTAACCCCTTAAGGACCAAACTTCTGGAATAAAAGGGAATCATGACATGTCAAACATGTCATGTGTCCTTAAGGGGTTAAAGGATTATGCAGAGTTGCATCAGTTGAGACAGGTAAGTAGATTCCAGTATAATGTAATACAGGTTGCTTAGAGGATCATGCAGTGTTGCAGCAGTTGAAACAGGTAAGTAGATTCCAGTAATGTAATCTAGGTTGCTTACAGGATCATGCAGTGTTGCAATAGTTGAAGATAAGAGTTTCAGGAGGATTCAGCGATGGGACACATGGAGTCTCAATAGAGGATCAGGATGTTTTCAGGAGCCAGGATCAGAAGTTCCATGTCAGAACACTGATTTCAATGTAAAGGCCATGTGAAGAGTTAGGTGTAGTGATGTCCCGAACGGTTTGCTGGTGAACATAGCGTGTTCGCGTTCGCCACGGACGGCGAACATGTGAGATGTTCGGTCCGCCCCCTATTAAATTTACTAATACTAAGTAAAAATTACTGGGCGGCGGGTGGGGGCCATAAAGATAATGAGGGGGGGGACCTACTGTCCTCCCCCCCGGCCCCCACCCCTGGGCTGCGGGTGGGGGCCCTAAGTAAATTTCCCCCTCCCCCAAGGTGACTAGGGGTCCCCAAGCCCCTAGTCACCCACCCCCCCCAAATAAAAAGTCCCTACCTACCCCCCTCACCCTAAAAAATAGTGAGGGGGGAATAAAATAACTAACCTGTAAAATAAAATTTAACTTACCATTTGACGTCTTCTTTTTTCTCAAATCTTCATTTTTCAGCCCCAAAAAAGGCCAAATAAAAAAACCATCATAACCGTCGAACTAAAATAAAAAGAAAAATTCAGAGCGCAAAAAAAAAAACCCGACGAAAAAGAAAAAACCAGAGCGCAAAAAAAAAATCCATCTTCACCCATGGAGGGCTCGGCGCAGACTGAACTCCTTGCCCCGCCCTGCAATTAGGCTAAGAACACTCTGATTGGTGGGTTTAAGCCAATCAGAGTGCTCTGTGTCATTTTACACAGCGTGGGAAAATTCCAAAGAATTTTCCCACGCTGTGTAAAATGACACAGAGCACTGTGATTGGATGGATTTCAAGCCATCCAATCACAGTGCTCTGTGTCATTTTACACAGCGTGGGAAAGTTCTTTTGAATTTTACCACGCTGTGTAAAATGACAAAGAGCACTCTGATTGGCTTAAACCCACCAATCAGAGTGTTCTTAGCCTAATTGCAGGGTCTTCCCCCGCCCTGCGGAGCTCAGTCTGCATGGAGACCTCCATGGGAGAAGATGGATTATTTTTTTGCGCTTGGGTTTTTTCTTTTTCTTCGGGTTTTTTGTTTTGCGCTCGGGATTTTATTTTTTTTTTTTGTTCGACGGTTATGATGGTTTTTTTATTTGGCCTTTTTTGGGGCTGAAAAATGAAGATTTGAGAAAAAAGAAGACGTCGAATGGTAAGTTTACTTTTATTTTACAGGTTAGTTATTTTATTCCCCCCTCACTATTTTTTATTTGGGGGGGGTGGGTGACTAGGGGCTTGGGGACCCCTAGTCACCTTGGGGGGGGGGATTTACTTAGGGCCCCCACCCGCAGCCCAGGGGTGGGGGCCGGGGGGGACACAGTAGGTCCCCCCCTCATTATCTTTATGGCCCCCACCTGCCGCCCAGGGGTGGGGGCCGGAGGGGGGGTGGACAGTAGGTCCCCCCCCTCATTATCAATATGGCCCCCACCCGCCATGCAGGGGTGGGGGCCGGGGGGGGCAGTAGGTCCCCCCCTCATTATCAATATGGCCCCCACCCGCCGCACAGGGGTGGGGGCCGGGGTGGGGGCAGTAGGTCCCCCCCCTCATTATCAATATGGTCCCCACCCGCCGTGCAGGGGTAGGGGCGGGGGGGGACAATAGGTCCCCCCCTTATTGTTATTAGGGCCCCCACCCACCGCTCAGGGGTGGGGGCCGTGGAGGGACAATAGGTCACTCCCTTATTGTTCATTTTAGGGCCCCCACCCACCGCTCAGGGGTGGAGGCCGGGGGGGGGACAATAGGTCCCCCCTTATTGTTATTAGGGCCCCACCCACCGCTCAGGGGTGGGGGCCGGGGGGGACAGTAGGTCCCCCTCATTATCTTTATGGCCCCCACCCGCCGCCCAGGGGTGGGGGCCGGGGGGGAGGAGAGTAGGTCTCCTTCCCCCCCCCCTTCAACCAGTAAGAGTCCCTGTGGGTTTTAAAATTCGCCTGCCTATTGAAGTCTATGGCGGTTCGCCGGGTTCACCCGGTTCGCGAACATTTGCTGAAGTTCGCGTTCGCGATCCGCGAACCGAAAATTTCACGTTCGCGACATCACTAGTTAGGTGTAGCCTTTTATAGCAGACTTGGAAGATGGCGAGAAACAGGTATTGCAGCAATAAAATAAAACAATACCTTGGTTGTCAGGATAGGATCCTGACACCTACTTTCTTTGTTCCTGGACCTCACCTCAGACGAATCATGCATCACTTTAGACACACACGCAACGGCTGACTTACTTATGTGGCGCATTTTTCTCACATCTTGATATGGGCAAGCTGTGTTCATCCCCCTCACTTTCTGACAATTCTCCTACACTCTGGACAGATGCTGTGGCAATAAATGGCTTTGAGGTCCATGGCCTAGAGAAGTTAAGTCCCTACCTAGCTTCTCTACTACATCGGCCATGTTTAAATTATACCCAATCGTGGCCGCTGCTATTTCCTAGGGGCCAAACTGGACTGGTCACTCAGTCAGATGTTTTTCTGACAACCTAGCCACTTGCCACATTGTTAATAAAGGCCAGTCCTCATCTTTGGTAATTATGAGGTTTTTAAGGAAACTCCCATAGGTAGCGGCCACTTGCCAATTCACATTTCGGGTGTCACAAATATACCAGCTGATCACTTGTCTCGGTTTCAATTTCAGGCTTTCCTCCAGACTCTGCCCACCGCTTCCCAGGTGGCTACCCCTGCCCCTTCATTCCAAGACATGCTCCTGGATTAGATGTTTTATTGACTCATGCACGTAATCTTTCCCACCTTGCACTTTTGGTTAACTATAGGAAAACCTATGATAGAGCCGTTCACATTTTCACCAAGTTCATAGCGCAATTTCAAGTTCAGGACATATTTGCTTTGGAAACTATATTGGGGTTTACTTCTTTTTGCCACCTTAACTTAAAATTAGAAAAAAAAGACGAAAAATGGGGCAGACAGTCCACTCACAAAAAAGTGGGTGGAATGCCTAGCCTCATTCAAAGTACCTCATAATGTAAATAGTCACATAGAAGAGGATAAACAACCTTTATTAGAAAAAAATGCTAAAATGGTATATAGTCCAAATACTATTACCATACACTAAAATAGTGTATTGATTATAAGTTAACCACCAAATTTGTAAAAGCCTGGGAGAGGCTAATCCTGCAAGGTATGTTTGACTTAATAAAGGTGTAAAAATACATCCTTCACCACATCCCAATGGGATAAGATCCTCATATTACACCATAAATGCTCATCGAGCTCCCAAGATCAGGAAACAAACTATAAACTCCTTTCATTCTGGTACAGAACGCCTGACAGTCTACACAGGATCTTCCCGAATATACCTGACACATGCTGGAGATGTGGGGATGAACGGGGTTCGCCACTACACATATGGTGGGAATGCTCACTCATTAAGCCATACTGGGACGAAGTTCTACAGAAAATAGGGGAAATCACAGGGACGGAAGGAAACCTCAACGCAGAGGCGGTTCTCCTGCACTCCACACCAGACCCCATAGGAACATATAGGAAAAACATTCGTAGACACCTAATTAACGCGGCCAAGGCACTGATTCCACTATACTGGAAACAAACGAATATCGCGACGATAAGGCAATGGATGGAGCGTGTGGAAGAAATATATAGAGTGGAATCAATGCAGGCTACACTTATGGGCCTCGAGGACAAGCATGTGGAGAGGTGGCGCCCATGGCTACTCTACATAGCAGACCGAAGCACAGATAGGAATAGCCGTCCGCAGCCCCAGGGAACCCCGCGCCCCCCCACAGATGGGGACTGACATCTGGTATGATACGTGCAATAACAGGGGCACGGGCGATGGGACCCCCCGCCTCTTCACACCTCCCTACCCATCCCTCCTCCAACCCGCTTCCTCCTTCTCATCCCCCCTCTCTCTTTCTCTTACTTCTTACTCATTTTTCACTCATCTTCTTTCTAAATTCTCCAACAATGTTTTCTATACAAATTGAATAACAGACGCAGCCCTCCTCAACCCGAGATTGCTAACAGCTCACTCACACTCACATATCAAAATGGAAGCAAACACCTATATCGTGAGATCACACAGCACGAATAAGGCACACTCATGAAGGGCAACTGACCAATAACGACGGACCAATAGCCTTTACCATCCCAAAGAGAAAGAGGCCCAGGGGTGATAAGGAAATATTAAAGGAACACAAAAGGCAGACACAAAGTACAAACATACGAATATTCCTCTACTCGAGCTGCAAACCGGTCACCCATATGAATATTCTAACGTGTTAACCACGATCAAATACCATATATGTATAATACGTAACATTGTTCGAGTGATGTTCACACATTCTACGATGGGACCTGCGCGTCCGTTATATCTTGTTTGCTTGTTTAATCTATAGATTCATGCTGTTGTACATTGATCAGGGCACACCCTGAAATGTTTATGTTTGAATAAAGCCTTTTTGAAACAGAATAGTTGTTTAACCCTTCTAAGCATTAGGGCAGTATGTTGGAGTCTAATTATTTCAATTCTCCCTTTAATTTCTATCAACATTAATGCTAAACTTTTAGATGGACCGAATTTGTTGGCTTGTTGTAAGTTATAGTGTTCCTTTTCTAAAGAGAGCAAATAGGTAGAATTTTTTTTTTTAAATATGATGCCCTTTGTAGGAAGTGGCCTCTTATGTTTGCCTTATGGTCGTACCATATGGTTTCATATGAAGGTACTGGAGTGGTGTTAGTTTCAAAATAGTTTTTAATTGCTAGTTCTGCTAGCTGGATATTTTCTGGACCATGTAGTAAGTGATCACCTAACTTCCATGACCATGTGGGTGCGTCAGCGCAGGGGAGGGCTGGCAGCTTTAGGCCTGGGGGGCAAAACCAGTCAAGTGGCCCATTGCACCACCAAATCAGTTCACCATCCATGCCAGCCTTTTCCTGGTTTTATAACGGATATTGATGTTATGCTAATCGGTGGCTCTTTGCCATACCTGCTCCTTCACGGCTCTGACTTTCAATGTTGCCAGAGCGCAGGCTGAGAATCTCTGAGCCTGTGCTCTCACTCACTAACTGAGCACCGGAACCACGAGGGAGAGGATATAATCTGACTGCACCTACTGCTGGTGCGCACCAGTGGACCACCAGCAAATCGTTTAAATTGAATATGCTGGTGTCCCCAACTTGTGAGCTGTGTTGGCCTCCGGGCGCCTCTGTTGTCATGGCACCCTGCGTGACCACACAGCGTGCACACCCCAACGGCTGGCCCTGCTGACACACACTGATGTTACTACTTAGAAATCCCTCAATATTAATACAGACATCAGAGTAAACACCAATAAACTGTGGAAACAGAGCTGATCCCCCAAATTTATAAAGATTTGCTAACTGGATTTGTTGTAAGATTAAATCATGCCTCCTCCTCTCTCTCTCCCATACGCTGCTCTGTAGGCTGGGAGGAAGTGAAGAGTTATCACATTCTCCCAGCACAGCGCTGTGGCTCCATGGGGAACAGTTGGTTAATGTAATTCTTGCAGGATGGCCAGCTGCCGCAGAACCTCTTTGTTCCCGTCTCTGCGCGGAACAGGAGTTTCTGTTTCCTGTAACCGGCCGGACTGACAGAAAGTGCACACTCAGTGTGCACCTTCCTATCACTCCGGCCGGGCACCGCAGACCAGAGAGGAGCTCTGCCACGCTACAGGGGAGGGGATGGGAGGAGAGAAGCAACTGCAGCCGCCTGAGGCTCTTAACAGAGTGCTCAAGTGGCTGCAGCATTAGGACCGGCCCGCCGCAGCCGGTTTTAAAATGATTTAGGGCGGCCTGGGGTGCAATTGCCTCCCTGCCCCCAGCCCATCCCGCCACTGCGTCAGCGTATGTTTCTTTTAGGTGTAATATAATCAGTGTATGGTCAGACCAATCAACGGGTAATATTTATGATTTAATAACGGAGTCCAAAGCGGATTCATTCAATAGATATCTATCTATTCTTGAGTACATGTTGTGTACCATAGAATACTAGCTATAATCTTTTTCTCCAGAATGTGTCAATTTCCATGAGTCAAACAACCCACATTTTAAAGTGGCCTTCTATTGTGGCCAGCCTAAGGCACGCCTGTGCAATAATCATGCTGTCTAATCAGCATCTTGATATGCTACACCTGTGAGGTGGATGGATTATTTGGGCAAGATTTACACAGATTTAGACAGATTTGTGAACAATATTTAAAAGAAATAGGCCTTTTGTGTACACAGAAAAAGTCCTAGATCTCTGAGTTCAGCTCATGAAAAACGGGGGCAAAAACTAAAGTGTTGCGTTTATAATTTTGTTCAATGTATTTCAGCAAAATAAAAAGTGACTTTTTGGATGATTTTACCGATGGACATAGTACTGGCTCAGCTGACAGTCACTCTGCCATACTCAGGACTGATTAACCGTCCCAAAAATACAGATGATTTCTGTGGCACACTATTCTGTGGCCTATTGGGTAGCTCGGGATGGGGAAGTGGCTGGTCTCTTGTTCTGAGGTGTCCCGCTATCATCTTTGCTCCGTTACAACACCTTAGGGACAGCGTGGTGATCCCACCCTACACCGACCGAACTAGCACCTCACATGGCTAACTGTTGCATACACCATCATAACTTGACACAGCATGTACCTTACGATCCTAAAATGACTGCCGAGCAAGAAATCCTGCAGGCTTTCGACCGCTTGTGCCAATCCTTCTGGCTGTGGCTGGATATCCCCTCTGCACCTACTGTGCCGCAACATCCTACCCTGCTGCAGCGCGATACACGGAGTAGCGATACATGGCTTCAGAGGGTCATGGAATCCCCATCGACAGCAACTGCGAAACAAGATGGGTGAGGCCGACTGTCTTCAGGCTTTGGGCACGTTGGGTCTCACGACCCTTGTACTGCTCCCACATTCAGAAGATTCTGAAGTGATGGCCGACTGGCCACCCTAAATGACGCATTACAGCACATGAGACAACTAGGAATGCCAGTTGCGCTCTGGCATGAGAGCATGTACCATTGCCTGGAGGCTGGTTGGGGCTTACCTGCCACCACAGGAGGCCACTGGTCTACTGAGGAGAAGGCGATCTCTGGGGTCCCTGATTACCCCTCAAAGGGGAGTTGGATAAACTCTAGTTACTCTGCTTTATAACAAAGTTATTTTTTGGTGCTGAAGCTCTTTCTTTATGTCTGTTTACTGTTGTATTTATTTTTTTATGTAGTGCTACTACTAAGCCTTCTCAACCGATGATTTCTTGATGCCAGTGAGATATTTTGTCTGATTTACCATCTGTGTTTTACTTTATTAGCTACTTACTAAGTGTTATGTCTACCTACAGTAAGCTCACGCTAATAATTGACTAGCTTATGGTTAAATGACCAATACTTTTTATTTTATCAAACGTTTGAACTTTTATTCTTATGTTACTTCACCATGTCTACCTAGTTTTGTATGCAGCAAGCTCACAAATAAAGTTAAGGGGCACTTAATATAGACTGATTTCATGTTCTGCTAAAGATGTCTGGTTTTATACCTCGTCTTTGGTTAATCTTAAACCTTGAATGCCTAAGCTACACACTTATTTTAGTGAACAGTTACACATGAGGAACCTGCCTGAATTATTATTGGGTTTTTTTTTTCTTGGTTTTTTTTAAATTGTGCAAATACATTCATGACAATGACATAACAATATGAAACCATATATTATTAAAGCTTGAGATTGCTGTTGTGGCTTTGCAAGACTGTTTGTACTCTTTTGCACAGAAAAATAAAGATTGACATAAAAAAAGCACTGCCTAATTAGATATTGTTATATAGATTAAAATTAGCATAGGTTAAGAACTTGGTTAAAGTAAACCTTAAGTTCTGTTTCCTGTTCTTTCTGCTTGGATGTGAGTGGCTAGCTAATGGTACCATGATTTAACCAAGTCAAGAAAATTAAGACAGTTATGTATTTTCTATATTTTTGTTACACCTTAGCTCTTTTGCTTTCTGACTATCCATCATTTTCACACATTATATTTTTTTCACTCATGTTTTCCAACTTTTCTCTGTCCTTCTACCTTTTTCAATGTCATGTCTGTCACACACATTGCCCGTCTTTCAGTGCCTGTCTTTATTTTTCCAGTTTTGTCTTTGTCAACGTTACCCCATATATTTCAGGCTCTCTATCTTCCAGTTTTCTGAATCTCTCTTGCTACTCATTTTCCTCTCTAATCTGTTTCAGTCATAGTTATTATAAATGTAATAAGAAAACCTTACGCTATTGAGAGAAATGCTGCGTTGCCTCCATACAGGAAAGAGCGGTTTAGAACTTGCAGGATAAATGTTGCATAGAAGGCAGGGAGTATTGATAGTGTGGCACTGATTGAGAAAAGCATGCATTGTGTGGCAGTGATAGCCAGTGAAACCACACAGGAATGTAGGTCTGCCGTTGAGTCTGAAATTGACAGAAAAAGAGATTTATGATGCATGATCATGACTGCTCTATGTTCATAAAATACTTATGTTGCTGCATGCTTGGTTAGTGTTTCAATAATTGTGGTTTTATATATAAGATCAGAGCACACAAAATACAAGGAAGATAGGTTTTCCAAGTTTCCTATATGTAGATTTGTGTACACCAGGCTACCTGTTCAGTCTGAAAAAAAGTTTCATGCAATGTCTCTTGGTGTGACATACTAGACAAACCAATAGCTTCCTCAGGATAGACACACTCAAAGCACAGAGAAAACACAACAAAAGAGGGCAATTTAACTTTGAATAACAAGTAAATTAGGCAGAAAATACAGGTACTTGCAGACCTGCATGCTATTATTGCAGACCTCCCTTGATCTTAGCTGCAAGCAGAAGTGTAACTAGAAACCATGGGGCCAAAGTGTGAAAATTGCCCCCGCCCCTCGATGTGTCTTATTTCCTCCCCTCAGCCCCTCTTTGTGTCTCATTTCCCCCCACCCTGCAGCCCCTTCCATGTCTTTCTTCCCCTTTCCCCTGCAGCCCCTTCCACGTGTATTCCCCCTCCCCGCAGCCCCTCCATGTGTTTACCTCCCTCCAGCCCCTTCCATTTGTCTGCCCCTCCCCTCCAGCCCCTTCCATGTGTCTCCCCACCTCCCTGCAGCCCCTCCATGTGTCTCCCCACCACATCCCCTGCAAAAGAGGAAGAGACACAAAGAGAGGCTGGAGGGAGAGAAAAATACACACTAAGGGGCTGGGGTTGTAAGAGACACACAAGGGGTAAGAGAGTTGTAAGAGACACTAAGGGGGTAGGATACACTAAAAGGGGATATGATACACTAAGGTTGGTGCAAGACAGATAGATGGGCATATATAAGATACACTAATGGGACTGTAAGACACAACAGTGGGATACAATACACAAAAGGGGTAAGACATTCAAAATAGGGGAAAAGAAACACTAAGAGGATAAAGGGTTGAAAACTTCAAAAGGAGGTTAAGAGACACACAGGTGAAAATGCATTTGGGGGAATGTAGCCAAAAATCCTTGCTCTGGCCATGCCCCTTAGCCAATGTAGCCAAAACTTCTTGCTCCAGCCCTACACCTTGCGTCTTTCTTTCCATACCCCCTCCCTCCCTTGTGTCATCCTGCCCACTGTTCCTTTTCCAATTGGACCCCTTTAGCCATACCACCTTAATTTCCCCACATGTGGCCTCTGCTCTACCCCCTCTTCAACTAATATCACAATCCATCTTCTACCTTATTATTGGTGGCTGACAGTAGTCCTGTGAGCATGCATACTCTTGCACTGGAAGCTCTGTGCATAGCGAAAAGATATAACTTCATATTCCTGCATCCTCTATTGGCATACACAGCCCATCATCTAACTGAAGACTCACTCCCAGGACTCTGACTCTATTATCGTCCAGTTTGCCCACCAACACCAAATAAATAGTGACTAAACATAATGGAACATAATCACCAGGCTTCTTCTTTTATTTTTTTTTAAGCCAGCAAACAAACATTTTACACACATATTGAGACTTAAATAAAGCATTGTTTGAAAAGCATGTAATAAAGTTGAAATGTAAGATAAGGTTATAAACTTACTATTAAGCAGGAACATTGCTAGGCAGAAAGACCAGGGGCTTCAGACTAAGGGTAAATTTTATAGTCTCACTACTTTCATATTACCTCAAGCCACGCCCAAACCCCACCTAATGCCCCACAGTAAACATACTCTAAATACATGAAGCACATAGCATTATGTACGAAGAGTATGTCATCTTTTTTCGTTCTACAGTTGGTTCTGTTACTTCCTGGCATTTTAGCTCCGTGGGACTAATCTCAAAAGGCAAGCAGAATGCCTGCTTTGCATTGGTTTTTAATGAGCTGTAATATAACTTATTTAAATCTGTGATTGGACAGCCAAACAAAGTCCGTGCTAGGGACAAAGGGGAGGGTTTGCAATATCTGCAGGTACTAGATATGAGACTATTTCAAGCCAAGTCTTCATACACATTGCAAATGTTTTTTAAAAAAATGCATGTCTGTTGTCTTGTAAATAGTTTTTCTTTGTTTTTTTGTTTAAAGTATTCAGCTTGCATACAAGTACCTTTGTGCACAAAACCTATCAAGTTCAAATTTAACACCCTGTTACAGTGTTTAATGTTATCTTTGCTTGTGGTACTACTGACAGTTATTTTATGTGTAGGCTCACTTGTTCCATCTTGATTCTAATGGTTCAATGTTTCTACGTGTAGCTGGCTTCTAATATTTATGAAATCTGTGTGGATGACAATGTAGGAATATATGGGCTTTTTTGTAGTTTGTAGTTTTTACCTTTGTATTTGCCTTTAAATCTGTCTATGATAATCCCGTTCCAAGGAGCACATAGAATTCCACAAAACTGAGACACAGCAAAAACATTGGTGTAATGACTCACTAGAAAGTAAAAAGAAAAAAAAAAGAAGAAACAAGTGAGAAAATACAATACACAAAGAAAATGCAACTATAAAACAATCCCTCAAGCTGCAACAATGCTGCTTAGCTGAGTACAAATAATGTATCAACTGGATGAAATATCTCAAATATCTCAAAAAGTGAGAAATGAGAATTCCATGTGAATTCAAAATGTCAAAACCAAAGTAGCTGACCTGAAGGCATAACCGACAGAATTTGTTTTCAGTTGAGTTATTTTGGAAATTTGTCAGTTTTGCTCATACTATAAGTCAATGCACAATTTTGGGGTTTTGCCAGTTCTACAGGCAAACAGTTTGTTTTTTGAAATTGTAATATTTAATTGTATAAAGTTTCTTTACATACAATAAAATGTCATACAATACAAATGGAAAGACAAAAACAATAAAACAGAAAAAAATATATATATTATGTAAAATAAAAATATATAGTGCTCTATGTCATCTTATATTTATCCAATATTAATATTACATAATAATAGAACATTTCTAAAATGTTATTGGATGTAGATTTATATGTTCTATATTAAAAATTAAAGATATACTATATTTCATTTTTCCTTTCTCCTTGTCTCTTCCCTTTCTTCTTGTCTTCCTTTCCTCTTCCCTTTCTTTCCTTTTCGGTTTTTCTTTTTCCCTTCCTTAGTGCAGAGTATTAATGGTTTATTACACTTTCCCCCCTATTTTTCCTTTTATTCCTTTTTTTCCCCCTTTAAAATAACGCTACATAGACATTTATCAACAAATCTCAGTAAAAGAAGAATTTCTGGAGAGTTAGGGATCATAAAACCAGTGCATGAAAAAAATCTAAGTAATTACTTTGGACCAGAATTTGGATAATTTAGAATAGCCCCACCAAATATGAACCATAGAACCTGGATCCTTGATACGTCTCATTTATTTGATGTAGCCGAGTTTATAATAGCCAAACTGGATGGTATGTGATACCACCAAGAGAACATCTTACAAAGTAACTCTCTGTATGAGGCATTAAAAGTTAAACCTTTGTAAATATTTATTGCTTGTAGCCAGACTGTGTCCGAGATTGGGTGACCTAATTCCCTCTCCCACACTTCGGCACAAGTTATCATACTAAAACTAATTTAGTTTTTCCTTTCTAAGAGTTTGTAGATTAATAATATTGTTTTTTCTACTGGTAACACTCAATATGTGCCAGTTGTTGCTCATTTACAGTAGAAGGATGCACTTTTAAATATCTCAGTATTCAAGAACATAGTTGCATATAAGAAAATCTTGCAATACTTGGCAATGTATATTTCACCTCTAATTGTGAAAAGGATAAACATTTATTTTTATCAAATAAAGAATACAAATGAGTAACCTCTCTACAAATTTTTTTTTAATGTTTCAGTGAGCTAGTGCATATTTCTTTATATATTTTTGAAAAAAATTTGAGTTAGCAAAAGATCAACAATCACTTTTAGGACAATAAATAAACAACTCCAAAACCTATAACAACTTCATCTCAATGAAATTGTTATGGGTGCAAGAATGTCTAAGTGCCTTTTTTCCTTCAGGGGTTAAAATGTTTTCTAACAGCTAAACCTCAACGTTAGTCCCCAAATTAGGCTTGACAACTCTATCTCATCTTTTCCTTCCTTTAAGCCACTGTCCACACCAAGACAGTTTGCCAGGTAAATGGTATGTACTATTAAAGCCAGTGATAGCTGGAGAGTGTCAGCTGGTATTTGCAGGGGGTGGACGGGAGGGGTGGCTTAGCTAGTGCAGAGACTGACAGAGCAGTGAGGTGTGAGTTGCTGGGTGTAAGGTAAGTTGCTGGAGTATGGCACAGGCATTCATTACAAACTGTAAAGATGCAATCTGAGTACTTTTCAGTTTGACAAGCAGAAGGTTACAATAATCAAGGCAGGAAACAACAAGACATGGACAAATGTCTTGTTGTATCTTGAGTTAGAAAGGGGCAAACTCAGCAATAGGTGAAAGTGACAGGATTTGTTGATAGGTTGGAGTCAAAGAGTGAACCAAGGTAATGCTCCTGTGGGACATAGGTTATAGTTGCTCCATTGACCTTAAGGGAAAAAGACACAAGAGTAGCCCTATAGTAAAGGAAGACAAGGAGTTTGGTCTTGGAGAGGTTGAGTTTTAGGAATCATGAAGTCATAGAGTTAGGATAGGCAGACGGTAACATGATTCAGCAGACAGTGAGAAAAATCAGTCGAGGAGAGGTAGATTTGGGTATCATCAGCAAATAGGTGAAATTGAAAAAAAAAATCGGATCATTTAAGGCCAAGAAGTGACATAGTGTAACTTGAAAAAAGAGGTCCCTGCACAGACCTTTGAGGAGCTCCAACCAAGAGAGGTAAAGAAGGGGAGGAGGAACTAGAGAAAAAGACACTTACACTACTTTGCATTCTCTTCCCCTTAGTAATCTTCTAGAATTTATATATATTTCTGCTGGCTCCCACTCTGCTCCCCCTCTTCACTGTGCTCGCTGGAATGCAGCATTGCCAAATTAGTTTTTGTTCATGACTTCTTTATTTCCAAACCCCTCAATCACCTACTCTCACTGAAGCTTTCTGTCCTTAAAGAGCCTGTACTAAACGCATCATAGAACATCCTAGCCACCCTTGCAGTCCACGTGAGCACCGTCATTAACCCACTGCAGATCACGGTCGGACAACCCAGGCAGACCGTAATCTACAGCATGAAAAGTTTTAAAATGTTTTTTTAAGAAATAAGGGGGGCGGAGCCAAGCTGCTGAACTGGATAGCAGCATGTTTTGTGAACTCTGTGCAGACAAGCGATTTATACTCCAGTTTTGTGGCTGTTGTCCCTAAAAGTTTCCCAGACAGCTACTTATAGCATGGGATGAAAACCAAGAAGCAGAGACTAGAACAGATAAGAATGAGCATGAACATCAGTGAATTATGGAGGCAAACACGCAGTGCCATGGATCCCAAGATGGCAACCTGCGACGATGATGGCTCAGACTTCTCAGATAATTCCTGCAGAGCAAGAGGAACACTCACCTGCCCCACATGTGCCCAAGCCGACTCCCATTCAAACTTGGCTCCAGTGACAACGGCAGTAATGAAGGAACTCCTGACGGGCCTCTAACATACCACGTATCCACATCTAGATTCCTGAGGTAGTCCCCCCATTGGACGAAAAGCATTGGACTACATTATGTGGATATTTTATGGACTTTTATTCTATTTACTCTGTTGTTTTTATTGTCTCCTGCTGGCTGTGTGAGAACTACCATGCTTCATCTAGTTCCACAGTGTGTGGATACATGCCCAGATTGTCTACCTGCTTGTAAGTGCAATCTAAATAATTTTTTCTAAGTTTTAACTATACTTCACCATGTATGGCTCTCTTTCCTTCACTTATTAAAGGAATCAATGAGGATTGGAATCCAACAGCTTTCCTTATCGTTTTAACCCCTGGTGGCGTGAGAAGCTCTTTTACAACTATGTTTGTGAGTGCGATTCCTATGTAACACATATTTGTATTTAACTGTAACTGAATTACGCTATGTAATGTTCATTACTGTTACAGATCTACATACATAATTTATTTTATTTATCCTGGTCCATCTTCCCAGGTTGTATTCAATTTATTATATACTGGGTGTTTTCCCACTTTTTCCTTGTTCCAATTAACTATTTTGACCTCTTTATGTCGGATGACATATTGGAGCTCATGGTTCAGCAAACAAATTTGTTTGCCAGGCAGTACCTCTCTGCACATCCATGGACACATAATAAAAAGAAAATGTGGAAAATGTGGCACCCCACAGATGGTGCAGAGAAATAGCGATTTTAGGCTATCCTAAAAAAGCCAAGTACTCACTACAGTGAGCTCACTGTAACACACATGCGCACTACAGAAAAGCGCACTGTCACTCCAATGCTCACTACAGACAAGCTCGCTGACACACTCAAACTCAAAAGAAAGGCTTGCTGGCGGACACATGTTCACTACAGTAAACTTCACTGACACACATGTTCAATACAGAAAGGCTCATTGACACACATGCTCACTACAGACAAGATGACTGACACACACATGCGCACTACAGACAAGTTTACTGACACACACAAACACACTATAGTAAGCTCACTGACACACACATGCTCGGTACAGCAAGCTCCATGACACACACATGCTCACGACAGACAAGCACACTGTTACACACATGCTGCCTACAGACAAGCTCACTGACCCACACATGCTCACTACAGAAGAGTTCACTGACACACATGCTCACTACAGACAAGCTCACTAACACACCCATGCTCACTTACAGACAAGTTCACTGACACACATTTACTACAAACAAGCTCACTGACACACACAAACTTACTACAAGTTCACTGACACACATTTACTACAGACAAGCTAACTGACACACACTTGCTCACTGCTGACAAACTCACTGTCATACACATGATCACTCACACACATGCTCACTACAGACAAGTTCACTGACACATGAAAACTCACCACAGAAAGCTAACTGACACACACATGCTCACTGACATACACATGCTTACTACAGACAAGCACACTGTCATCCACATGTTGCCTACAGACAAGCTCACTGACATGCACATGCTTACAACAGACAGGTTCACTGACACACATGCTCACTACATACAAGGTCACTGACACACAAAAGTTCACTACATCTTTGTCCTTCGGTGGTCTTCAACTTACCCACAACCCAAGAAACTCTGAATGTAAAGGTGGTGGCGTAGGGTTTATCCTCTCACCTCACTGCTCCTTTAAACCTCTACCCAACCCCCTTCCCTCTCTTTCCCATCATTTGAAATACATTCAATTCGCCTTTTCAAACCCTTCTCTGGTAACATTGCTGTTATTTATCGTCTCCCCGGTTCCCCTCTTCTCTTCCTTGACCACTTTACTGCCTGGCTAAACTATTTCCTCTCTTCTAACATTCCATCCCTAATTCTCGGGG